AAGCTGTTGGCTTAGCACGAATAAGATAAGGTTGTCTTTCTTGGGAAGAAAGTTCATGGACGTCTGCCAAATGGTTTGCCAATCTTTTTAAAGCTCGCTTGCCGCAGATGGGACAATCTTTACACTTCCGAGGCATAATGTCAAATGATAAATGTCAACTGATTCATAACATTAAATAGTTGTGGCCCTAAAGGCCGAAGGTTTGCTGTGACTTGGGAAAGGGTTAGAGAAATGGGTTAGGGTAAAATAGCTACCGCACAGGATCGATCTTATTTTACTTTTATAAATCAAACACAAACAACCATTAAGAGTCAATGTCACTAGGATACCGTGTGTTTCTGAAAAGTCTTTTCAAAAGAAATTTTCTCTTGTCAATAGCGGCCTCTAACGCTTCCCGGTGGTCGAAATTATCATCGTTGACAAAGACATCCCTGGTTTCCATAATCTTTTTGTGTATTGGATCTCTCTTTAGTTGTCTTATCCATAGTAGACGTTCCAAATAAATATTCTGCAAATCTTTACGAAGTTTTGGTACGATAAGTAAATATGCCTTGTCTTTAGCTTCGTTTTCGTCAAAACCTTCTGCAGTGAAATTCTGCGTTAGTTCTTCGAATTCCGATAAATTTTGTTGGGTTGCTTCAGCTTTTAAAGGAGCCCACGGATCGCTTTCGTATTCATCACCTATTTCACTACTAGTATCATCTACATTATCAGAATCAGTCTCTGACGCAGAATCAGTTTCCACTTCGTTGTCAGTGTTATACGAATTCTCAACATCACTCTCTGATGTAGCACTATCAGAGTCTGCAACCGTTCTCATTCTTTTCATCTTTACACTGAAATCTGTAGTAGATTTCCAACAGTACTGTATTTCCTTCGTATATTGTTAGGTTGAAACAACTCCAGCCGCAACCAACCGGCGAATGATCAATTTTTTGAACAACATTAGATTTTATGAAGTGGCCCTAAGGGACTTTTCTATGGCCTTGTGTACCGATTGGTGATTGGCAGGGATACTTCCCACCAAGCCTCCCCACCAAGAGGATTCTAGAGAATCGGGCCACAAGGCCATAGAAAAGGCCCTTGGGGCCAATGCGAAAAGTGGCCCATCCCAACGAATCATCAATCGGGACTCAAGGCCATAGAAAAGTCCGTTAGAGCCACTTTTCGCGCTGGCCCCAAGGGTCTTTTATATGTCCTTGTGGCCCGATTCTGTAGAACCCTCTTGGTGGGAAGTATCCCAGCCAATCCGGCCACAAGGCCATAGAAAAGGCCCTTTCTCTAGATTCTCTAGAATCCTCTTGGATTCTCTAGAATGTCTCGCCCGATTCTCTAGAATCCTCTTGGTGGGGAGGCTTGGTGGGAAGTTTCCCTGCCAATCACCAATCGGGACACAAGGCCATAGAAAAGTCCCGTAGGGCCACTTCATAAAATGTAATGTTGTTCAAAAAATTTATCATTCGCCGGTTGGTTGTGGCTGGAGTTGTTTCAACCTAACAATATACGAAGGAAATACAGTACTGTTGGAAACCTACTGCAGATTTCAGTGTAAAGATGAAGAATGAGAACGGCTGCAGACTCTGATAGTGCTAACATCAGAGAGTGATGTTGAGAATTCGTATAACACTGACAACGAAGTGGAAACTGATTCTGCGTCAGAAAGTGATTCTGATAATGTAGATGATACTAGTAGTGAAGTAGGTGATGAATATGAAAGCGATCCATGGGCTCCTTTAAAAGCTGAAGCAGCCCAACAAAGTTTATCGGAATTCGAAGAACTAACGCAGAAGTTCACTGCAAAAGGTTTTGACGAAAATGAAGTTAAAGACAAGGCATACTTATTTAATTATCCTACCAAAACTTCGTAAAGATTTGCAGAATATTTATCTGGAGCGTCTAATCTGGATAAGACAACCAAAGAGGGATCCAGTACACAAAAAGTTTATGGAAACCAGGGATGTCTTTGTCAACGATAATAATTTCGACCACAGGGAAGCGTTAGAGGCCGCTATTGACAAGAGAACATTTTTTTTAAAAAGACTTCAGGAACACATGATCTCCCAGTGACATTGATTCTTAATGGTTATTTGTGTTTGGTTTATAAAAATAAATTAAAATATATACGATTCTGTGTGGTAGCTATTCCCCCCTAACCCATTTCTCTAACCCTTTCCCAAGTCCCGGAAAACCTTCAAAAAGGCCTTTGGGGCCACAACTATTTAATGTTAGGAAATCACTTGATATTTATCATTTGACATTATGCCTCCGAAGTGTAAAGATTGTCCCATCTGCGGCAAGCGAGCTTTGAAAAGATTGGCAAACCATTTGGCAGACGTCCATGAACTTTCTTCCGAAGAAAGACAACCTTACCTTATTCGTGCTACGCTAACAGCTTTAGACTTAGAAAATGTTTTAGCAGAGTTGTATAGATTAATTGGGAACAGTAAAAAGCAGTCTAAGTGGAATACAAGCGGAATAAAGAATATACCCATCCATCAACCAAAATCCTCCTGGAAGAGTACAAGGTGAAATACAAAACCTGCAAAGAACGTAAATAAAACTCTTAAGTGAGTAATATATTTATACAGACAAGAATTATTAGCTTTGTAGTACTTAAAGAAATGAATGTGTTCTAAAAATGAAATCATGTGTTTTTGCCTATTTTATATCCGCGCTCGGTGTCCACGCTTATAATAGCCCGGTATTATCCTTCAACATCCCCATTATGATGTACATTGTACGCATCTTATCGCTAATGATCGTATAATGATCGTAGGCGAACATAACAATGCACAGTAACGCGTGCATGTGCTTACTTCGCTTGGTATATTTATTAACATTGCTGGTTGTGACGAATAGATTCCTCGCTACCATTGTGTAAACATACGAAAGTTAAATAGGCAATAATCACGACCAAAGTTTGTAACATTGATCTCTCTGTAGACTTGTTCAAGGTTTAGTGATCATTGTATTTATATGAAACGATAACGTTTGCTTATCACTATCAATTTCATTTCGTCTCAACTCATCAAAAATTGTATCTATGTTATCCATTGACTTTGCTTGGATCAAATGTTTGGGGAATTTTGTAGCTATGCTATACCAACATCAATCCCTAAAAAATGCCTAGTCAGCAAGTTTTGCCCGATCTTGCTCAAGCTTGCCCTCGTGACGTCATTGCATATATTAAGTGAACACACCCCACATGAGATCCACCACCTCACGCCGCCACCACACTCCACCTCATTTTATGCTAATGATGATGCGCCACCTCATTCTATGCTAATGATGATGCGCTACAGTTTATGCTAATGGTGATGCGCCACCACATTCTAAGTTAATGATGATGCGCCACCACATTCTATGCTAATGATGATGCGCCACCACATTCTATGCTAATGATGATGCGCCACCACATTCTATGCTAATGATAATGCGCCACCTCATCATTCTATGCTAATGATGATGTGACACCTCATTCTATGCTAATGATGATGCGCCACCACATTCTATGCTAATGATGATGCGCATACGCCACCACAAAAATAAGGGTCGAACGGTACTTATATTACTACTAACGTCGTTGTAATAAAATGATATTAATATCGCTATCATTTGTTTCAAAGAAATTAGATGTGAATTTTCCGCAAGGGATTTTCTCAGCGGTTTTATGTTTCTTAAATCCAGTTTTGATTTGTCTTAGATATTCAGTCGCACCAATGAAAGGCCAACTAGGTAGGTGCAATTTTATGCTTGAAGTGGTTATATTTTATATCACTGAACTTTTTCGATCGACAGTAGGGTGTTAGTCAAGTTCTTTTTTCATGTGTACATGATACAAACGGGAAAAAAGAACCAAATTATAATAGCTATATAGTGTCCGGACCGAAGAAGAAGCTCAGTCATTAAGTTATTATGGCTAAAACACAAGATCATTCCTCGAAACAAAGTTTAAATTAAGTCGTTTACAACACTATTTGAACATTCAAAACACAGGATTTTAAATGTCTGGAAATTTCTTTTACCATGTAGGTACAATGATAACAACAGGTTTTCGGATTTTACTATAATAAAAGTCGAAAACAGAGCAGCTTTCAGTGAAGTTTCACTTTATAGTTCGCCATTCAGAAAAGTTGCTCATTTGCAATGGCGGCAAATAAGTGTTCTAAAAAGCGTCCTTGTACACGTACTGTAAAGAAGAACGTTAACACAAACTAAAGTAGAATACTAAGTTATCGTATTGATAATATAAATGAAAAAATTCTAAGAGCAGTGCAATTTTTTCGAAATACAGTGCCGAAAAAAGAAATACAGTACAAATTTCTTAATTTTTAAAATTGTATTATTTTTTTATTTTTCAAATCTTTTAATTTTCTTACTTTCTTAATTTCTAAATGTGACTTACGCTCGTGACTGCATGTTTTCATATATATTGTTAATAAGTAATAGTATGGTTTCTCATGCAATTGGAAAAAACATACACCCTTTAGTTTTTCAAAGACTTGCAGGAAATATTTTATGTTAAGTGCAAACAGAAAGTAAATTATTTAATTAATTTTTTTATTTCTAGAATCAAGCAAATTTCATTTGACATTATTGGAAAACTTAACCGATTTTCACAGCCAAGGAAAAAAGTTGACGGATGAAGGTACATTTCCACAATACACACGACTAATTCATTCATACAATGAGTTCCTTTAGCGGTATAAGCTATGATCCACACTCTACGAGTTTAGGTTATTTCAGCCAAGGACATTTCAGAGGCTGAACGTCCTTGCTGTCTTCGCACATCTTGTCAAGACTCGACGACAAAGTCCTCCATATGTAAAGGACTGATTTAGGACTGACCGCAGACTAACAACATCCTTGATTGTTTTGTAATTGTAAAATTTAAACTAAGGCATGTTTCTTGTTTGGGACCGTTCTCAAGTCTGGGGTATATGCTGCTCCCTACCCATTCACATAGGATCGTCCATTACGTTTAGCAAACCTAAAACTGAAAAATAACAGGTGCCACAAGTAATTTCAGAATTGGCAAGATTTTTTAATATTTATGTTATAGACAGTACTCCTGTTGTTGATGAGAATGTGTGTCTTGCTCTGGATTGGGATGCAAAAACACCAGACAGCAAAGTTATATCTAAAGACTTGGTAAGATTTATTTTATTTCGCTGCTACTATATACGATATCTGAAGAAGTTGTTCCGGGGGGTTCAACTTCTTCACAAATAACAGAAATTGCAGGTCACAACGTAATGCACTGGGAACAAAATCCCTACTATATGAAATTTGCAATTGCACCACTAAATCCATAGTATATCCATACTATTTTTATACTATATCCATAGTGTGGTCCTGTATGGAAATATGCAATTATTATAGATAATCAAAATCCATTCTATTTCCAATACAGGCCCCTACAATTTCCATTCTACGGCCTTCTATGGATTTTCAAAAATGTTTCCAGTGATGACTGCAAAATGCCCGGCAGCTTCAGCACCACGGCTGCCAGGACGATTTTATCAAAATATCTTCGAAGGAAAGTTTCTTACATCCTGCAGGAAATTTTCGTCATCTCATTAAAAATTTCAAAACCGTTTTGCAAGCGAGATTTATCTTGTGTCAAAACCACATACGCATGATTTTTATCTTTGTCAGAAAATTTCGTTCTTTCATTTTGCTGCCAAGAAGAGAATATATTTTCTAGGCCTGATGCATACTTTTTCAGTTTATTTCTCGCATTGTATAATTATGAATTTATTTCATGTTTTTACTCTACTTTATTTATTTCATTGTCGATGTATTATTTTGCTTTTGACTTCTTGTTCCATTTAATTTACCAGATGCTATTCTTTTATAGGTATGTGATATTCATGAAAGTGTGGATGAGAAACATTCAAGTGAAGGTATGCTCACAACATTCTTATTGTTCCAGGTGCCCGGATTCATACAAAAGCAGATCTGCAAGATGACGTCACAACAGATCATCTGTGGCGTAAATTTTTAAAGTTAAATAAAAACACACATGACATGATTTAGTCGTCAGATTTACTTTACGTTAAGTTTACTTCGATTGAGCTCCAAATGGTCGCTTTAATTTGAATGGCTAATAACGAATTCAGAAGAGCCATTCAAACCGTGGTTTTCTCTATCATCCCTGGTGCCCACCATTGGATGATAGACGTATCCTTAAGACCTGAATATGAAAACCTGAATTGTTGGTGGTGGTGGTGTTGGTAGTCGAGGGCGTTTTTGGTGTTTGTGTTGCATGTATTGTCGTTGTTGGTGGTGGTAGTGGAATTTGGACCTGATCTACATGGCGGACCTGCTACAGATAGTGGACATAGTGGACCTTGTTGTCCTGGACTTTGTGAGCCAACTAAACGTGATGGGGCTTGTGGTCGAGGTGGAGCTGGTGGACGTTAGACCTTGGCCGGTTGTACCAAAGCTGGATAGCGATATATAAATGGATAGTGATTTTTTGAAGCTTTCTCAAATTGGTCGTTGACTGGTATGATTACACACATTAAACTTTAGTATATGAAAATTCAAGTTGCCTTTTATTAATTGTGGGATTTATATCCATAGTTTTAATTCTCTTCAAGCATTTTTGCAACGGTTGCAAAAATCATTATTCGGTGAATAGCGCTATCCGGCCTACATACAACCGATCCCTTATGGAACATGTTGACCTTCTGGATCTGGTTGACCTTGGCTACTGCTGTTGCGCAGTAATTGGCTACTGCTATTGGGCCGCAACATAGAAAAAATGTAGATATAGAATTCGTACTTGATCACGAATCATGTTTCCACTTTTTTCATGCGTGCCTTTTCAAATCCGCCATATTGAATTTGACTAGGAGTGAGAATTATAGAGTATAAACAAAGCTAAGACTAAGTTTTCATCATCAAAACGTTTTGTCTTGCAGTCTAATTTGCAGTTTGAGGATAGATTTTGAAATATTAAGTTCCTTGAAGTCACAAAAGCAAATGTAAGTGCTGTATCAGTGGATTTACGACAAGGGTGAAAATCGTGCAGCCTTGTAAAAACAAAGTAATTTCTCGTAATCATAATTTGCCCTTGCTGAAAATGCAAGGAATTTTTCGGGGGGGGGGTGTGTCGCAAGTGTGACTTTCCATTGCGGCATCGTGGGTTCAGGATTGCGCAATTTAACTAAAACATGCTCACGATGATTTAAGGACCAATTCTACACAATGCTATTCAGAACGAATTTCGTATTTAACTACGTTACAAATCTTAGACGCTGTATTTGTGGGACGTATTTTATTATATTATATTTCATTGTGCATGCGCTTGAACTTTTCTGTGTTTTTCGATATGATATCGCCGTCCTCTGAATGTTTGTGATCATGAAGTGACGGCCGTCAAGAAGTGAAGAACATCTACATGTTTCAAATTTATTTTTTTAATATTGCGATGGTATTTCACCAACCGCGAGGCCAGTGTAACGCCTGAGCAGGCGTCTTGTTCAGTTTTAAAACTGTTTTGTTAATATCTCATGGAATTACAAAATGATAGTTCATTCTTTGCGGAGTTTCGTTTTCTTTCAAACTTAAGGGACTGGTCATAAAGTAACTGCTAGGGTGGGTTGGAGGTAAATCATAAATTTTGCCAATGAGTTTGGTGACCCATCTTAGGAAGTAGATAAAAATTTCAAAGCCCATCTAATCTTACCAAATTTATTTCATTCACCCACCCAGTCTATAAATTGGGAAAATACACTTTTATAATAAAAAAAAACTTGCAGGTATAAACATTGTAAATGCACACCGGCACTATATTGGCATACATAATTCCACCAAGCTTGACCAACACATTCATCACCAATTACGATACTGAGCTGCTCTCCAGTTGGTTGTATTTGTTGTGATTCGACCACTTCTTCTTGTTGTATAAAACAAAGTACTGGCGTCAATAGCATCATTTGCATTTGATATTTTGGATAGTTTTGTTTACTTTAATTATTAATATATTAAAATAATATATAATTAACATGGGTTTTTGTTTGGTGGCCCAACCGTGGACATACAAAAAAATTGGCGGCCCATCGAAACTGCCCAAAGATTTTCCATGGTCCATCCCAAATCACTCCAGCCCACCCTAGCAGTTACTTTATGACCGGTCCCTTAAATTGAAACGTTTTCATGTCTTGGAAAGACAACCTTAATTGAATCAGCTGTATATTTATGTGGCGAGGTTCGTAAATCTAAACCTGGTGGGCCTGGTTGAACTTGTGTTTACGTTGTGGACCTGCTGGACTGTTAATGGTGGGCGTGCTGTTGGTCGTGACCGTACATGGTGGACAGGCCATCTTGTTGGTTTTGTTGGACAGGTATTCTTGTTGTTAGTGTGTGGGTGTGGATATAATTATTGCTGGAAGAGGATTAATTTATGTTTTCCACAAGGCCTTGTACTTACACTGCATTCCAAACCCTCAAGTATATTTTTGTTTTTTGTAGACAACTCTTGTTCATTGGAAGAATGTCTCAAATTGTATTGGAATCCAGAAAACATTAACAAAGAATGTGGTTGGTGAGAAACTATTAATACTAGTCTTGTACAAAATTATAACACGTGGCGCGTCCATAATTTTAAACAACTTTAGTTGATTTTTACTTTTTTAGAAGTAATTTTTTTGGTTTGGAAGTAATTCTATAAGTAATATAGTTATTCATCGAAGTGGAGGTGAATAGTGCAAGGATATTTACCCAATCACACCAATCAACGAAACCAATCAAATCGCTTGAAAAGCACTATTCTCCCCCCGAGTGCATGCTAAGTTAAAATATCTCAAGACTTAAGCTCTATATTAAAATCTGTAATAAGATTTTATAGATAATTTAAACGTTCGTTCAAACGAGACAATAAAAATGTTTGCTGCCATTGTCCTTTAAAATTGAGTTACAATACTGTACTTATCACTTATTTACTGAGATCGAGGGAAACAGCGTGCTTTGTGGCCCCGAGTTCGCCACTGGAATTTTTTTCAAAATCCTTACTATGGAAATAGTATGGAAATGCATTTTCATACTGATTGCAATTTCCATAGTACATGTATATGCATGTACTATGAATATAGTATGGATATGCTATGGATTTAGTGATGCATTCGCAAATACCATAGTCTGAATTTCACTATTTTTTCCCAATATGCATATACTATATTAGTATGGATATGCTTTGGATTTAGTGATGCAATCGCAATACCATAGTCTGAATTTTACTATTTTTCCAAATATGGATATACTATGAATATAGTATGGATATGCTATGAATTTTGTGATGCAATCGCAAATACCATAGTCTGAATTTCACTATTTTTTCTCAATATGCATATACTATGAATATAGTATGGATATGCTATGGATTTAGTGATGCAATCGCAAGTATCATAGTCTGAATTTCACTATTTTTTCTCAATATGCATATACTATGAATATAGTATGGGTATGCTATGGATTTAGTGATGCAATCGCAAGTATCATAGTCTGAATTTCACTATTTTTTCTCAATATGCATATACAGTCTATGAATATAGTATGGATATGCTTTGGATTTAGTGATGCAATCGCAAATACCATAGTCTGAATTTCACTATTTTTTCCCAACCACAACAATGGTCGGTGGGCAATCTACAGCAGAGAGCAGTTAACATTACGAAAATATTTTTGCATGCCCAGTAATTATTCCTGTTTCACAATCACATTTCCGTTTTATGCTTCTAATGAAAGTTACTATCCGATAATTATCCATCAAAATGTTACCAAATGGCTGGCGCCCAGTACATTCCTGAATGATACAACCAGAGAACACAATATTTTATCACAATTCCAGTCTTTACCTTTTGAGCAGTAAAGCCTTAATTCAATCCCAACCAAATTTCCTAAAACACTGTTCTGCAAGTTTTTTTATTGAAGTGGACTTACTACAGACGCTAGCACGCAAAATGTACACATATTCAAATCAGTTGTCCCTTCCTATTTCCATCCAGGCGCTGTGATCATTGCAAAGACGTTCGAGCAGCCACACGAAAGCTGATGATCTGTAAACATCCGGAAAATGTAGTTATTCATCTCAAACGATTTTCATATACTGGTAATGGACGCAAGATAAGCAAACATATTCAGTTTCCTCTCAGGTAAGTTTGTAACTACATTCAACGAACGCTGGAAACGTTAAAGTTTTACCTGTATTTTTCAGGCAGTTGAGTCCCTCTCAACCCGTAGATGGGATCTCACCTTGCGCTAGGTTGGAGCTGTTGCGGAATTTTCATTTTAGTAGCCGTTTGAAAATTCTCTAATTTTTTAATACATCCTGTATAGTGGTTTTATTGATGTTGAAGGGATTTGTAGATGAAAATTTCGAGTGGAATTTTTTATAAATTTATTAGACCTAACCAGGATGCAAGTATCAGCCCTGTGGCAGGAATCGAACCTGCGGCGCTGCGTTTCCGGTACAGTGCTCTAACCAACTGAGCTATCAGAGACGGTTGTTGAGCTCTGACCACAAGTTCATGCATAAATACTAAGGTAATGCCAATGTACGGTGTACAGCAGATTTGCTTCGCTGAATGAAAGTCCAAATTATTGGCAGATAAGGATAGTGAAAGCACGAAAAAAGCACAAAAGGGGTAAATAGAAGTAGAAATAGAATATTTAGCTGACCTTTGAGTGCAAGGTGTTTGATATTCAAATTGTATTTTAAGGAAAAGTACCGGCTACTTTTCCTACCTCATGAACAGGAATCGTTTTATACGTTTCTCATGTCTTTATAAAATGTATAATAAAACAATTATTGGATTCGGCTTTCGCATGATATCAAAAATTATTCAGACCTCGGTCTATGTTATCTGCCTCAGCTTCGCTTCGGCAGATAACATTGACCTCGGTCTGAATAATTCTTGATATCATGCTCAGCCTCATCCAATAACTGCTTAATATCGAGTGAGATGCCCAAAATCCTGATGGTCCCACATTGATACATGTTTTGATCACAATGCTTGCCTGCTGCGTTCTCCGTAAATCTCCTGGTTAAAGAGTTTCGAAAATCCACGACATCCTCAACGATGACGTGTTCATGAAGAAAAGTAGTTTATCCTAAGATAAAGAATGCGATGAATCTAATTATCTCCCCTAATGTTATTTACACTATTTCCACATCTCTAAATAACATTAGAGGAGATAATTAGATTGATCGCATTCTTCATCTTAGGGTAAACTATTTTTCTTGATGAACACGCCATCAATGACGTTGCTTTTCCAAACTGTTTAATCTGGAGCCAGGTGGTGGTCGCACTACGATCATGCGTAAATGGATCATGCGTAAATGTTAAATATGATGGAAAGCAGCTGGGCGGATCTATATAGCCTGCAACGCTATCATCCCAACATTTCCATTATTTGTTCACGTATGCGTGGCTGGCCAGTTACTGTAGCGCAGTATACAGTAAATTTGCCTTTTAAAGAACAGTATATTTGAAAATATGGCTGTATAACAACCTCGACATGTTACATATTTAATCGTAATATTAAACTAAAGCATTCTGAGTATGCTTCAGTTTAATATATATCATTAGCTCACAAATCAATTGGATTGTTTCAAGAAGTCAACACGCGCTAACACTAGAAATTCCGCTGATCGCTGTTCGAAAAGCAGAAAATGTATATGGTCAAGCAGATTTTTTAGGGTGTGGCTGGATTTCGTTAGGGGGGGGGGGGCGCACCCCTACAGTAGATCCGCCTTGGGTGGAAAGTCAACTATAGTCAAGGAGTGTGAAATATGAATATTGAGTCATGAAGGCTCTTTTGCCGTTCTTAACGGAAGCGACGGTAACAGTACATATGAAGGAATATTTTGGCCAAATTTCCAAATAATAGTGGAAGAGATAATTAGATTGATCCCATTCTTTATCTTCGAGTAAACTACTTTTCTTAATCAACACCTCACCATTGACGATGTCGTTGATTTTCCAAACTTTTTAATCAGGAGCTTATACATGCAGAGAACGCAGCAGGCAAACATTGCGATGAATACATTTGACAAGGAAAGTCGGTATCAATATAGGATACATATAAAAAGTAGACAATTTTCAAATGGCGATTAAACTGAAAAAATCCACAACATTTGTGAAGATTTACATGTAAACAGGTAATTGAACCACAGGTCGTCGAAGCACTTGGATAGGAAAATTCGTAATCACGTATGATGTTTTCAACGTGCTGATGGCGTCTGAACCTTGTTGAAAATTAAGACATCGCTAAATTCAAAATAATTTTACGTTTACCAATGATATACAGCAACGTATTTTAGTACGAAATGTAAAAATACAACCAGGCACCTCTACGACGGGATATTTAAATAGTGTTGATGATTTTCAGGGAATTTATCAAGCATTATTAGACGGTGAAATACGCTGGTCACAAATTTCAATTATATCAACAATAGAGTTTTTGTGACGGCAATTTATTGATTGTATTGATTATGAAAATAGAAATATGAAACAAAGATGAACAACATTCACCTCGAATACTTTGCCGTGGCACTCGCATATTTGGAAGACAATGAAACCATTTTGAATCTCAATATAACTACTACCTGGATGCGAAAAATATGAGAAAATGGAAGAAAAACGCAGTAAAGTTATAGCTTAATTTAAGTTGTATTCATGACATCACGAACTTCGAATGGGTCACGTCTACTGGCGTCAGCTGTCTACTATCGACGTTTTTTAACTATAATAACAATAACAGTCTTTATTCAATACTCAAGAAGTCACGTCTGAGTTTACATTATAAAAATGATATGAGATAAGATGATTACTGTAATATCTATGATGATAGTATAACTACATGTAATATTGTTTAAAAAGATAAAAATTGATTGAACAAAGTTAAACAAACATCGATTTAGAAAAGAAAGTTTTAAATTGTTCTGTTTTTAATAGCGGAAGTTCGAACTCGTGTCCAAAAGCTCCCATATTGCATTATCTTTATTAAGTATTATTTTATCCCAAAATGTTTTGTCTATTTTAATACTATATACATTTAATATGCAATCTTCAATATATAACCATTTCTGTGAGCACGATTTATATAAATATGTCTATTTGACTAAATGTATTTATTGACGTATGCGCCTCCCCAAATTTCAATACCATGAACAAGCGATATATAGGTATAATTAAACTGTTAAACAGCATGTCCAATTGTTTGATTGGGAAACCATCGTATTTACGGACATGCATCATGTACATTCTTCCACTGGCTTTTTTCAACAATTTTTTAAAGTCCCACTTGCAAAAGAGATTTTATGTGTGTATTTTTAGCTATATATTTCTTTCAAAAATTTTAAAAGGATCGGGTAACGGTGTAGGAACATTTCCCCAAACAATCATTTCATACGTCTTTTTCATATTTAAAGACATTCGATTATTTTCAGACCGTACTTGTAACTTAATTGTATACTGCATATCCACTTTGGCTTGGGATGTGTCACCATTTTCATTCCCTGGTACTTCTATATCTTCTGCAAACTTAACTAACTGGTTTACGGGATCAACAGTCTTAATCTCGTGATCGAGAAAAGAACAGGGCCCAGAACTGTTCCTTGGGAGCACCTCGATTAATGTTCTTGGGAGCACCTCGATAAAGTGTTCAGTTTTCATTCCATCAACTGCTACCCTCCAAAAAACGGATTTAATAGCCAATTTACATGATGGGAAGCTTCTTAAGCTTTTCACATAAAATGTCGTGTGGAACATTATGGAATGCTTTGCTGAAGTCAAAAGATATTACTCTGACATATTTAGCATCTTTTTCTAATCATCTTAACCACACTTGATTAGAGCCATAATCGAATTATGTCCTTCCTTAATGTATAGGCAAACTGATCGGAATCAATAGCATTTCTTCTAACATGAACTATCTCAGTTTTCAACACACTTCCCTCGAATATAGTCATATTATAATATCGGTTATTGATATTGGTCTTAGTTGATTACATGAGTTCGATTCTTTAGGGACTGGTAGTATACGTTTGCATGTTTCCACATTTCAGAGACCTTGCTAAATTCCAATGAAATATTTTTGTTATGGTAGCAGCAACTCGGCAAGCTCTAATACAAATCCCGTTTAATTTTTTCATCAAGTTAATCTTCCGAATGCAAAAGAGCTTTTTATACATTTATTACACCTAAACCAGGAGCAGTTACGAAACATGCTACTATAGGCCCACTAGCAAGAATCGAACCTGCGAACCCTTCCATTCTGGTGCAGCGAACTCTAACCCAATGAGCTACTGAGTCCAGTTGTCGAGCTGTAACCGATACCAATGTAAGGTGTATGGGTAAATAAGGTGTATGGGTCCTGAGACATTTGGGCGTCATATCCGAATTTTTTATGTAGATCTGCCGTGTACGTGGTCCATCGTACGCGATTGTCCCTGTTATATAGAATCAGGAACAAACTGACTTATAGTTACTATTTCTCGAAGAGGGCCCTGCATGGGGCTTGCTTATTTTCTCTGCATCTTAGTCTTAAATTTGTTATACTAATTATGTAAGTATATTAGTAGTTAACCCAATAAAGTTCTTAAAAAAAATTCCTGAGTTCTCATTCTTGAGATGAATTTGAGACCACGTCATTGAGTGTACTGCGTCGCTGAGTTTGCCTTTGCCACGTCGTAGATCCTCCGCGTGTACTGTATATTTAGTTGCGACATTGTCAACTACGTATACCCTCGGCCTAAGTACTTTGCCGTGGCTGTGCAGGGTTTCAATTTAATTTTAATATTTACATATTGCTCGAAATATTGGGCGACTATAACATATAGGGATATGATCTAATGTGGTTTTTTATATGCCATGGCTTTTTAAGAGGAAGTTTTTATGTTACGTAACACGCACTCAAAACTAATGAATTCCACTTGGTTATGACTTGGTTATTCAATTTTTTAATTTTTGATACATCTCTCAAGCAGGAAACAAACTTAAAAAGTATGTTTAGTGCTTTATCTGTAACTGAAATGATGCAAAAATGAAGAGGTCGGCAAAATCTGAAGTTAACGTCTATTTTACAGCATCAGTGATAATTGTATTTAAGTTGACAAAATTTAACATTTTGTCACATTTCTTAATCGCCAGATAATTTAAAAAGGTAGCTAATTGTGTAAACTATAAAATAAAGCTGAATCAAAGTAGCCTAATTGTGAGAGGAATACCAAAAAGGATTGATATTTTGAACACTTTTCATCGCAAATACGCGACATTTCAAACAATTGCCTTTTAATATGCTCAATTTTGTCTTTTACAGAGGTCTGGATATGTCACCGTTCACTCATCCTGAAATTACACGAGATCGAGCTATTTACGACCTCCATGCAGTGTGTAGTCACTATGGTTACATGAATTTTGGACATTACATTGCATTTTGTAAGCCTTATTCAGAGGAGGAACTTGATGCAGTGGCTTTAACAAATACGGATGGTAAGTTGTTTTCACATTGTTACGTGCTGTGTACAAGCGAACGAATAAACGTTTCCCAAGATGGCTTTACAACCTCGTTCCAGGCCCTTTTTCGTGCGATTTTGTCTGCTTCCTCTACAGGCCGTGCTGCATCACGAGAAGGTCACACAATAAACTTCTGCGAAGCCTGCGGGCTTTTCTAGAAAGTTTGTCATTATTTTTTTTCAATTAAATGTGCATTTTGTTGGTTTTGCATCCGGGTGTAACTCAAATTTGCCGCCATTAGCAAACTTCAAATTGTCGCGTTATTGCATTGCATTGCATTGCGGACTCAGGCAAGAATTTTCGCGCGCTTTTTGGTTTGCTTTACCGAATCGACGCATTGTTTGAAAGTATACATGCATACATTCGTATGTTTTGATAGTCTTTAAAAAACTCACTCTTGCGTATTTCATCCAAATTGCACTCGTAACCGAACCTCGAGTTCGTCCGAGGTTACTCGAAACCATGCTAATTTTTGCTCGATATTTTCATCTATAAAAACCCTCCAACACTCTTTCAAGTTTCCAAATGTACCGTATGCAACAGTGCAATATCCAATGATGTATGGATTATTACATGGTGGAAAGAAGTTGTGGACAACAACAAATCTTTGTTAAATAGCCTACATTTGACAAAGTGTACACAACGCACAATCTGTATGTAGATTTGTTTATCCATAGGTTGGTTGAGATACGATGACAGTAAAGTGAATAATGCTAAAGAGAGTGAAGTTGAAAAAACGTGTGCATATATATTGTTTTATCACCGAAGGAAAACCGCTTCAAGCTGTATGAAACACACTTTAGAGGCCACCAGTACTGAATCTGAAGATACGTCCAAGGCTGGTCATTATGATCCCCAGGCGATGCAAGAAAGTGTGGAAACATCAGAAGTTGCAACAGAACAAAATACTACGCTAAACAATTTTAAAAACACAAGTATTCTAGTGAAAGAACAGGAAAATAACTGTCGCCTTTCTGCGGACTGTAGCTCAACAAACGGTGAAACATTACTTGAAGATATTTTGGACTAGTTGATTGTGGAAATGTCTTAGCTAATTCACTCTAATCCCGCGCAGGTGTGTACACTGAACACGACTTTTTCTCATCATTGAATTTATATACGTGACCGTCTGAAGTCCACATTTGTGGATAATTTTATATTTAGTTTCAAAAACTAACATTAGCAACTACCATTTAGTATGTGTGAAATATCAACGGGCAACATAGACTGGACACGGAAAACATGGACTCAGTCTGCGATTTGCAGTATCGTCTGAGTTCATGATGGCATGATTTGTAGAACGTATAATTATTCAGTCCAAATCGCGTACACTTGTGAGTTACAAATCAAGGACTGAGTCCATGTTTTCCAAGTCCATGTTTTACAACATGCCCTGATAGTCAGCGAATAAAGATAATATTTCTAATTTATTTCCTGCGTTTGTCTTAGCAACACCCATTCGTTGTCAATGCATTCAATTGAGTTTTTGGATATAGCGACTTTTCTTCGTTAGCAACGAAGCGTGTTTCTTGCTTACGGTAGTTTTACGCTTCCTATAAGTAGTGCAATTTACGATGTCAATTTTGTTCGTTCACAGCAGTTTGCAAATAAAGTGAACGAAAGTCGAAACTTTTAAATTTTTACCCATATTTTTTATTGCATCACTTGACGTTATGTTCATTCGTATCTTATCTGATTCCCAAGTTATAGAACTCTTTGGATTTCTTTGTGTTTTGAGTTAGACGTCATTGGTTGTACTTGAGGTGGAAGCAAACTGACGGAAGTCTAAAATCTCATAGCATAGAGGGGAGATGGCTGTGAAACTCATTAGAATAACAATATAACTCATTATCTATGTTGGTCAACGTTTATTCATAAATCTGGTCCTTCACCGTCACGTGTGGATTGTATTTTTACCCAACTAACCAATAGCAATGTTTTAGGAAAGTCACCTATCCGTGACTCGAACAATAGGGAAACAGGCTGGAAATTGCTATTGGTGGATTTGGCAGAAATACAATACACACGTGACGGTTTAGGACCATATTTATGAATACACGTTGACTAACACAGATAATGAGTTATATTGTTATTCTAATGAGTTTCACAGCCAACTCCCCTTCGATAGGCCATGCTCAGAGGCACTGTAACAAAATTAAATGGTATTTACGATAGACCTTGGAAGTGCTTACGTCACGTAATTAAAATACAGAAGACTTCTGGAATGCGCAGTAACTATTTATCAGTAACATTTATTGAGTATTCCACTTTATTTATTTTTGCACAAGTGAATATAACAAATCCTACAAGTTGATTGGTCAAATTTGACGTATTAAGGTGTTATATTCACCTACAGGTGAATATATAACAAAACTGAAATTTGCAAAATGGCGACTAGCCGTTTCGTGGAAGTTATTGATAATGAAATAAGCAAAATTGAAATAAATTTCCAGTCCCAAAAACACAAAAGACTTGTGTAGAAATACTAAAACAATTATTCACCTCAGACTCGGTGATTATCGGGGAATATTCCCCGATAATCACCTCGCCTTCGGCGAATAATTGTTAAATACGACTAAACAATAAATATGGTACAACACATATGTTACGAAAAGTCAAAAACCAAACTGACAAACTAATTAGTACACATAAACTCAAACGGAACAGCACAAACGGGACAAGACGTCCCATACGGGCTAAGTGCCGAAATTTGGCATGAAAAATTGAGATAAAGTTCCTGGAAAGCAATTGCAACATACTCCAACGGAAAAATTTTTTACCTAAAAAGTTGTGTCCGAAAACTTTTTTAAATAGGGCCCCCTACTAAAAATTTTCCCCGGGCCTTCGCCAACCTCTCGGCGGCCCTGGTTCCATGCAAGGTGTTCCCCGTAATTACTTTAAATATAACTAAAGGTAGGATAGAGCCACTAAATGGAGCCAAATCAACCTCAAAAGTGCTACTCTGCAACCAAGTGCATTGTGGGATACGTTTGGATCAATAATTCATTGTTTGTCTTATAAGCAGTTCTAAGATCCATTAGTATGTGTACTTATAGCCAAACATTTTGGTATGTTGATAAGGTTGTCATGTTTATAATATACCTCTCTTCCATTTGCCTATCCTTAGCTTTCAACGAAACATACTTCAATTTTTGTAATTTTTCGTTTATTACTATGATCCATATAGAAGCTGTGGTAAGTTTAAGCTATTAAACTACAACCAGCGTTCGTTGCAAAGGTTCTGCAGCACACATTATCTTAAAAATAGAAAGAGAGTGTGGTCAGTTTTCGGTTGCATTGACAACCAAATAAACGTACAAAAATGTTTGGTTAATGTTTGTGATGTTACTCTGAGTGTATATCCACACCGGGCAAGTATCGAACCGACCTGACTGCGTAGCTCAGTTGGCAGACCATTGGGCTAGTATTCCAAAGGTCGCAGGTTCGATTCCGTGGCCAGGCATATTTTTCAAGCTTGCCCGGTGTGGATATGCATTCGGAGTAACATCACAAACATCATATTCACCTGAGTACATAATGGTGAACACAGAAAAAATCATGTTTGGTTAGGTAAGTTCACTTGCCAATCGTGTGACGTCATAACTCAAAACACAAAAAAGTGCCACAACTTGGAAATGAAGTGAGATGTGAACTGAATTGTAAACGCTATTCGAACTATTTTGCAACCTCGAGGTTGACTATTTTGAACAAACGTTCAAGTGATAATTAAGCAATATGAGCTCTATATATAATCTGGAGCAAGAACTCCGGTCATTCGGCCCATGAGAAAAGTGAAGCCAATATAATTTTTCTCAGCTTTTTCTAACGGACCGTATTGGTAAACAAGTTATCAGTTCATAAAACCATAGTGTTATTCTTTAAATCGTTGTTTGGCTTGAAATACGAAATTTCCGCACACTCGATCCTTGCTGACTTCGTGTTAACCGCGCAGATAAAAGCAGTATATAAGGACTGGAACTGACGTCGAATAGCTCTTCAATTTTCCACGAGAATGAGTTGCCAGTTGGCCCTTCTTACGCGCGGTCAACGGAGCGCGACGAGGGGCTCTGGCCAAATCCATAACCGGATACCATAAAAACATGGTAAGAAAACAATATCCGGTGTTAGAACTAGCCAATCAGATGCCAGTTCGGATATGGATTTGGCCAGAGCCCCTCGTCGCACCGCGCGTAAGAAGGGCTCTGGACTCTGGGTACGAGAATGAGTTGGACATCGAATAGTGATTTAATTAAAAGTGTGGATTTATGAATATTGATCTGCAGGGTCGCAGGTTTGACCCCTGCTGGAGGGTCTGGCTTGGTCTGAATGATGATTCCAGCTATATTGACTAAATTTTGATCAAGGCAAGAAGAGCAAAATCCATTAGGGGCTGACCTTTAGAAATCCCGGGAGGGGGGGGGGTGAAAATTCAAAAAAAAAAATTCGTGCAAAGGAAAATGCCTGGATGCAGCCATTACGTCAGAGAAAAAAATTCGTGCAAGCAAACAGCGAAGTACAAATAGTCTTGAAAAAAAATTCGTGCAGAGGTTAAATGCATTAAAAAAAAATTCCTCCAGAGACACGAGACTGAAAAAAAATTCGTGCCGCAAAAATTTTATAGCCCCCCTCCCGGGATTTCTAATGGTCCGCCCCTTACCACAGCTAGAAAGAGCATGTTGAAATTGAAGTTAATTTTAACATGCTCTTTCTAGCTGTGGTGATGGATTTTGTTCTTGCCTAGATCAAAATTTAGTTTATAGCTGGATACTGCTGGAATCATCCATTGTGTACAAAGTTTCGTTCAAAAATTCCATCCACAAAAATACCATCTATAGAAAACTTAAAATCGGAAACTGAAACCCATCTGATGCATATATCGTAGCCGATTTTGAGCTTTTATCAACGCTAATCGCTAAATTTCTATTTTCGATACCAAAAGTGGTCAGTTTCGATTTCCTCACAATTTTAATCTTGGTAAAGGGAAAATATTCCACCATTTTATGAAGATAGAGCTGTGAGATAAACAAATGGCCCAAATAACATTCAATTTTTTTATATGTGTGACTTGACGTGTACTACTACATCTTTAATTAATAAACGGTTTTTTGGCGTGAAAGAGTGAAGTAGGCATGTTGTTAAAAAAGCGAAAAAGTGGTGCAATTAAAGCCATTATACAGTACAGTAAGATCACGTTAATTCTCCCTGGGTTTGACTATATAGGCCTAAATTTGTAGGGTAATTTACTCGAACTGTATTTTTGAGACATGGATCGGCAAACCTGAAAATGTCAGAACCACTGATCTATCAGTGGTCAGAACTCAGATATACCACAGTGGATATACAAACGTTATAAAAGGTTGAACAAGTTGCGTCGATCAATACCGATCTGCCAACAATAAAATGACAATTATTAACATAATAAACGTAATCCAACACTGACCCAGTTAACTGGTCAGCTCGAAACCCCCGCCAACCCGAACAATTAGTTTTCGCTTCCCTTGGATACCAGTCGGTAGTAGGCTATTGTAGTCAGTAATCGAGTACCGATAGGTGATACACTGATACCCTCATACCCGACTGTGGAATACTGTCAATACCTTGCTATATCAACCGGCATGTAGTATGCAACAAATTGAATCATGTTCTAACTCGGTATCTAGTAAACGGACATCGTACTAGTCGATAGTACTCGGCATCTAGTAGACCGACTTCTTTACATTTTAGTCAGAATGCCAATTTGAACTCGATCGGTTTGAAAGTGCCGCTGACGAAATGGAAAGATACTTTGAACAATACAGTCTACAGAGATAATTAATTTGAGTCGTGTCTCGCGGACTGAGAATTGACACACAGTGGCAGTGAAATTTACACTGCTGCCGCAGGTCCATCCGTCCATGAGCAGGAACAAAGATGTGACATGAAAATGTTCTATAAAAGACTTGAATAGACACGCACGTGCAGCACCTGCGCGCTAGTTCTAAACCGCGATTATTCTCCGCGTTCATGAAAAGATTGTTTACTCATTTTGTCTGTGTTTTGACTTCGGAAGATTGAATTCGTTAAGAACGTAATAGGTCTCTGATGTAATTCATGTAAATGTATGGAAAAATCGAAAGCGTCGAAAGATAAAATTTGCATGATATTGTATTAAAAATGTTACGTTATATAAATAGCATGGCCCAAAAGTAATTTTGGACGAAACAAACATTGCTTCATCGGCATTTTGTCGTGGATTAGAAAAAAGGCCTTTGAAGTATTAATCTGGTTTTGTGCTTCTATTACGTGCAATTTTCGTTAAGTACTTTGCAGGGGCTTCGGAATTAAACAAACTAGATTTTGTTGAATGTTGGACCAATCATATTATGTGCGTTGACAAATGATTTGCGTCATAACTCCATAAAAGGTATGTAAACACTTCCATCTTGAAGCCTGACTGTGGCGCACAGCCACAGCAGGAAAACTGTAATAAATGAAATATCATGAATCGTTCATGCAAGTGCACAGAGACTTCCATTAAATAAAGAAACATTGAGGGAACTTTTTTTGGTCATATCCTTGCATTTGGAAGCCTTTCTATTTTCAGATCAATCTGTCGATTTTATACTTTAATAGCTGTAACGTGCGTATACTCCGTATTAAATAATGCGGCGATCGATCATTCTCGACTTTGAAGCACAGGTCTGTTTGTGGTTTTTATTAAAGTTTTCCGATACCGTATCAGATATTGCATGTCTTGTTCGCATGTCAATGTTTATTTGTCAGTGAATGCGATCTGTCGCATATAGCTGATTAAGATTTTTACTTCTGCAGAAAGCTGTTCTGGCGGTAAACTGCGCTGAGGAATTTGACAGCTTTTGGAAAGCATCGTCGAACCTGCTGAAATCTGTGTTGCCATGCATAGTGAGTCTTCAACTTAACTTTTTTATTATACCACTCGTTCATGTCGAGCCATATAAATTTTAAACTGACTTATTTTTAGCGGTAACCTACACGGTTACAACAAAAACACTACAAAAGTGGATTGTTGCTAATCGTAAAATTCCGAGCATTCTAATAAGGTAATATTATTACAGCATCGAAGAAACTCTCCTTCGGTAATTATTATTGCAGGAGTATTGCAAAAATCTGAAAATCTTTACTCTGTGCTTATTAGGTTTGCCTTGCCTCCATTGTTTCACTTGGGATTGTGTGCAGGTGATATTCTTGTATTAGTAGTGTTCACAAAGATGCGCCTATTAAAAGTGAGATTAAAAGTTAATATTTGCAACATCAGCTCGTTTAATTTGTTACAAAATGTAAGCAAGGATTGTATTACATGCGATTTATTTATGTTCAGTACACTGTTGCAAGTGTATTTTATATGTGGTTACTTATATATAACGAATTGTCAACTTGAGTGAATGTGCAGGGAAGTGACAGAAGCAATTAAGCCCATGTTTTTAATAACTATGTGCTGACATATCACAGAATTTGCATTAATTTTAATAGCCCTCAGTTTTTTTTAATTGTTCGAAACAGTTGATTGCATGCTGTTATGTTTAAGATGCTAGAATCCTCATATCATCGCAGTTTTTTTTGTATAATTTGCATTGGCTGTCGAGCAGCTGTAAAACATGTTAATTTCTGCTATAGATATATATTTGATGCAGAACAGTATATAAGCTTGTTCTTTGGTTTGTGGTGAAAATCCAATATTGGTACACTTGTTCCTAAAATGCAATATTTTGCAGGCAATGATTATTTATATAATGCTCCTTGCTTAATACAGAGCAGGAATTTTTCCCATGAGTCCATGGCTATATATCATGCTGCACTTTGAAATTAAAGTGTACCCTCCTTCGAGGGTATAGTGGAACTGGAGGGGCACTAGAGGCAAAATAGACGAACTACCCATTTTCGGAGTGAAAGTGCACTCATCTGAATAATTGGATGTGTCATTTTTCCATATTGGCCAATATCCACCCAATATTTAGATTAAATAAAGGGGCAAAAAAATACCTGGGTATCAGCTCCCGACCGTAATCTTTTCATCTGTAGTTTGCAGAGATCTTGGAGCAATTTTGCTTGAGCGTTTAACAATTGTCTGTGCTGTCTGTGCTGCTGTAGATGATGTAGAATATAACTTGAAGATGGAATTTTGAGCTGAAGATTATATACAATCCCAGACCCAATTACCAGGAGCCGTACGTTGCAAAAAATGCATGTAACTAATGGAACCTGCCATGCAGCCCAGAGATTCTTCTTCAGCTTGAAATTGCTATCTACAAAGCCCTTCACCTGTTGGTTCTCTTGAGCGAGATGCCCAAAAAATCTTGATATTTGCCCGTACATTATACTGGCATCATCTATTATAGATACAAGATCTTGTGGTTGGAGCTTGACAACCAGACTCTGTAGCTTGGTTAGAGCGCTGCGCCAGAATCGCAGAGCCACAGGTTCAATTCTTGCCAGTGGGCCTAAGTTGCATTTTTTGCAGAGCTGCTTCTGGTTGGGTCTAGATCCCCCTCTTACTCCCCCACACCACTTTTGAGATGCTACTCCGGCATTTTCCCAAATTGTCAAATTGCTAACATGCATATTTAATAAAACATGGGATTCAGTGGTAAAGGATTACTGCATTACAGATCCATAAGTCTGCTTTTAGATAATCTGACTTTCAAAATTAATACTAATTTTCAGAAATGTGTGGTAGCACTAATTACTAGTGTTCCATTCTCAAGTGAAATGAAATGTTATTTGCTGTGTGTGTATATCAACAGCTGTATATCAATGTTTAATGAGTCCCAAAACAGGGTGTGAATTAACAGCATACAAATGAAAAATCATCATGATACGTGTGAAAAAGCAGTTTTGTTAGCGCTCTACAATTTCATGTAATCATTTGTAGCGGTAAGGCCAACATACTTTTCAGTCAATTTTAGACCCTCAGAATTGCTAGTTCTGTAGATAAAAAACTGTCAAAAAGAACTTTCATTGCAGAACAACTGAAGCTAAAATTCCCACCCAGCAAAATGTACAACAGTGTAAACTACTGTACAAGATTGTATAAAATCCATAGAGTGGCCATGATTATCGCAGGATGTTTTTAATTATATTCATTACCAATTACTAGCTGGCATGACAATATATTCTAGGAAGTCGCAAGGAACAACACTTCACTTTTAATTCAAACCAAAATATTCTATTTGTCCTGATTACTTTTGCGACATTCACTAATTTGCTAAATTGCGGTATTTGCAGTCATTTGTGGCATGCAATGCAGTAAAAATTGCTGTCAACTGTTCTTGTCCAGCCGGAGTATGCCGTAACTACCTATCGTGATGAAATAAATTCTTTAATTTATTATAATTATAATTTATTATCATACGCACCTGTTGGTGAAACACTGTGTTCAAATTGGAAACAGACCTGACAATTTGTTGAAATATTACCATGGAGGAGCCCCCTTAACAAAGCTGAAATATTACAAAGGAGCCGACTTAACAAAGTGGACATTACAATGATTCCAAACTCAAAATCTCCAATTGAGATTTGAGTGGGAGTTGCTCTCCTGGCTGGACTTACAGAAGGTTCCCCCTTAACAAAATGGTGATTTCAAACTCTCCAGTCTAACCATTCAACACCATATATCATGATATATGTGAGAAAAAGTTTATTGGAACATCTCAATTGACAATTGGAAACAGACTTGATGTCCTGGTCAGCCTTACAGAAGGAGCACCCTCTAGTTAACAGAGTGCTGAGTGGTCATTCCAGTGATTCAAAGCTCTCCAATCCGACCATTCAACACCATACAAGTGAGAACAAATTTTATTGCAACATCTCAGGCTATCAGCCTGACAATGGGAAACAGACTTGACAATTAGTTGAAATACTACCATGACACCATCGAGATTTGATTGTGAGTTGATGTCTTGGTCAGCCTTACAGAAGGAGCGCGCTTTAGTTAACAGATTGGTCATTCTAATGATTCAAAGCTTTCCAATCTGAACATTCGACACCACACAGTCAAGTGAAAAGTATTTTATTGGAACATCTCAGCTTGACAAGTGGAAACAGACTTGACAATTAGTTGAAAAACTACCATGACACCATCGAGATTTGATTGCGAGTTGCTGTTGTGGTCAGAATTACACAAGATGCCCCCTTGGCAAAGTGGTTATTTTATTGGATTATCTCACATGGCGGATTTTGAGAGAAGGTGTGGGGAGTTTCGCAACTCCCCTGACATCGTTTTTCACCTCGCCTGAAAAGTCATGCACCTCCCGTTTTGCTCGGGGTTTACCGCACTGATAGCCATTCGTGGCGCTTGCCTGACTATTAAGAACATATTATATATCCCTAATTTGCAATGATAACTGCGAGAAATATTATCATCCATTAGCACACAGCAGAATTTGGGCACTGGCTGATACTTGACTAGAAATTGCCTGACTTTATTTATTTACTACTTTCTGCAGGAATAGCGAATTGGTTGGGTCTAGGAGAGCATATCCCAATACCCTTCTCCTGGAAGGCTTGCACCTTAGGCGCTTGCTCGATAAAATATTTTGCCACTGAAACTTGGCATCTTAACGTTGGTTGCGTTCATAAGTTAGCAAAAAATTGTCTTTCACAACAATTTAGTTCGACTGATTCCTCCCCAGTCCCTCATCCAGTCTTGAATGGTGAAATCTTTTTTCCAACAACAGAGTTTACAGGGGGTCGCGATTTATTGGGAAATTCCTATGAAAACGTGGAAAGCGGTTTTTTACATCTTATGCGCGCAAAATAGAAATGAAAATCCGTTTAAATCAATAAATTTATGATATTGAATTATCGTCCCTGAAGCGATAAAACTGATATCGCTTCGCCCCTTATATGATAATCTATACATGTACTGTACGTGTGTCTTTATCATAGTCATAATTTATTAGAATATTAAACATTGCCCCCAATGCAACAATTATTAAACAGCGGGACAAAAACGGCGAGACGATGTCAGTAATTATATCGCTTGAGGGACGATATCATAAATGTCACACGAGTGTATTTATTGAGTGAAATATTTTTTTTGCAGTTTGCAAAATTTCTTCGCTTCCTCAATTTACATATGATTGAATTTTACTGTATTAACTATAATAATTTTTTGCCCACCCCCAATGCATGTTCGAAAATCAGAATTGACCTTCCCAATATTGTATACGTTACCATAAAATCGTTTTAAAATTAGGTTAAACATGTTGGTTTTGTATCAAATCCTGTCTCTGGTGAACTTCAATCAACGTCATCTGGTGAATTTGGTAAAGAAACGTTTGCCAGGTAACTACAACTTATTAGGACGTTTATTAGGATGACTACTGCAACTCGTATCCAACTTTTTTTGCACGAATTCGGCCATATCATTTTATACTTGTTCAGCGCGCAGTATAACACTCGGCCATTGCCCATTTTCCGAACAAAACGCTGATATTGCCGATTGCTCTTGCACGGACATTATGACCGTCTATATTTTTCATCAAAATTAAATCATTAGTATCGGATGATGTCCCACCACAATATGTGTTAGTCTGGGTCAGACTAAGTTCTGGGAATTGTATTTTACTCTGCAATAGGCCTTTTATTGGTCACGTGTGTCAAATCTCAAAAATCAAAAGAGTACCGGCTCAATATTAGTGAAAGTTTAAAGTAATTCCAGCTTATAATAGTTCAACAAAACGTGCCGACCAGAGAATTGTCCCATGCATATCCTAAGAAAATATAAATTTAATACCATTTCTAACCTATTGTCAGTGTATTATGTGCTGAGTAGCATGCAGTAGCGTGCCTTACTCAACCTTACTCCATTTACCATATAGATCAAATTAGAATGTTCACCAGTTAACCATATAGGTAGCGTCAGGGACGCCCTACACCGAAAACTCGACGCAGGACGCTCAAATTCTGAGGGAAAGGGAAATTATTCACAACGATTTCCCTAGAACCAAATGACTTCAGTTTTCAATATTATTGTACATTTGACATTTTAATCAATTTGAAGGTGTACCTCGTTGAATGAAAATGTCGTAGTTAAGTAAAGAAGCATCGCAGCACAAAACGTACAGAGCCAGGGGTGTTTGAAAAATCTCAAGTGAGCTTTGGTAGGCTGAACAGATACTGACATGAAGTAACTAACGACAGTAACGTAAACCTCTAATACTGTTTGAGAGTCTCAGACCCAAACTTCAAGGCTTTTCTAGAGGAACCTTTTCTCAACACCCCCTACAGTACTGTATAGAATCTGATGTGTTATACCAAAAGTGGACGCCCTCTTTCAGGATCCTGGCTAATTAAAAGACTGATTCTATTTTAGAGCGAAACTGAAAAACAAGCTTTGGTCAAGTTATGGTTTAGAACAAAATGATCCTTTGGTGAAGTTGATCCCTGAAGCCGCACGCCCTCTCAAGGTCGGCAACCATGGTTAGTAAGCGTAAGGAAAAATATGAAGAAGGCGGGAAAGTTTTATGAATAGCAATATTTATAACATGCGAGTTCCTTAGTACAGTATGTTTGCGCGTTCATCTACACGATTCGCCATTCACAAGGCCAGAAATCACGGACATATTTACTCTACGATATTTCCTTACTAATTTGCATATCATCGATTCATAACCCGTTGAAATATGGCTTATGCAGTAAACAGTAAATTATGGTTTCCGATATTGTAAATCGCCAAATCAGAGTATACGGTAGGTCTTTTGCAATTTGCCTCAATTGCTGGTTGCAAAGCATAGTTTGTAGAAATATTTACTGTAATGTTTGCCTGGCGTAAGTTACTGCCTATTCTTCATTTTCGTTTCTTTTTATTGGCAGTGCATGGTACGGTATTCTTAGAGGTATTCTCTGTACAAATATTGAAAATTCAGAATGGGCAGTAACTTAAATCAGGCCAACATCACACTAAATACAGTATTTCGACAGACTTTGTTTTGCAGCCAGCGTTTGAGGCGAGTTGCAAACGACCTAGTTTTTTCTCAGATTTTGTGATTAACAGCGTCGTGTTATATAAATCACTGTTTACTGTTGAAGCCATATTTCAACGTATAAGCAAATTACGAAGGAAATACAATTAATCGTGTCCGTGATTTCTGGCCATGGGAAGTCCCTCCATATTTTGCTGTCGCCACTCTTTTATTAGTGAGGCTTAGGTTTGACTTCCACCACTGCTACATTTTACTATATACTGGTAGATTATACGCATCTGATCGGTTAATGGTCCCTTGATGGTAGCGGTAGCGGTAGTGGTAGCATGTCTAAACCTCACTGTTCTGGATTGAATGGTGACTCGGCGACAACGAAGTAGCTACTGAGTACTATAATTTTGATAGAGAGATTAATATGTGAATGGTGACTCGGCGACAACGAAGTAGCTACTGAGTACTATAATTTTGATAGAGAGATTAATATGTACGACACCGCAATTAATACGTAGCTACGACGCCGACTTTCAGCTCAAGAATGAGCCTTGAGCAATACGAGTACTGTAATACATGTTTGAAGCTTTCTCAAATAATGGAATTTTTGGGCATCTTACTCTCTATATTCAACAATGTTGAAGGATTTTATAGATTTTCCGAGTGTAAGTTTTATATACATTTAAACCTTACCAGGAACGTCTGGTTAGCGAAAAATGCAACTCGCAGGTGCAGGGCTGGAAATAAATATTTGACTTGACAGAACATTTATCTGATCACTTTTAATTTTGGTCGGACATAACTTGAATTTGGTCGGACAAAAAGCAACATCACTGAATTTGGTCGGACATATATACGTCACAAGATAAGTACAAGTCACAAGACAAGTACATGTATATGTATGCCATTCCAGCGCAACGTTAAGTAAGATTAAAACGCCTCGTAAATTTTATTGCAAAATGGCAATTGAGTGAATTTGCAATCGGATTTTATCACAGCAAAAAATGTATAATGTGACAATTTTTTTTGTGATCGGACCAATGTTCGATCAAAATTACTTTTGCTCGGACATTTGCCAAATTTAGTCGGACATTGTCCGTTGTCCGACAGTAATCTGCAGCCCTGAACCTGACGGAAAAATTATATTTTTATACTCTATGTAGTGTACTTCTGGCCAGTGAATGCAGATAAAGGAAAAGTGGTTAGTCTGTATGTGGTAGGTCCTGCTTTTCTTTAAGATTTATCAATATTTACGAAAGTGAATAACTTTAAAATTTATACTGTATCAATATTCTCAAATCAAATTTGAGTTTTTCTCTGCATGCTATACGTCCGAAAGTTCAACAGGAAGTATATTCTTCAATAAAGACTTTCGAATATACTGTAATGTTGAACGGTTTGGTGCCAGTGTATAGGTATAGACTGTAGTGCCAATAATAACAAACTTTCATTGGTAGGGATGCAACGTACTATCTGGAAAATACAAAGCGAAATTCGATGTTAGTGACTTCACGACGAAGGGCCTTCGCTCGTAACGTCGAATTTCACTTTTTCAGATGGTTGCATCCCTAGCAACGAAAGCTTGTCATACCGTCGAACATACTGATTCAAATATTTGACGAACAACATCGCCAGGAACACGGTCAAACGGGAGCGCGTGTTTCGTCCGCGTGTTAGTTTTGGTTTTGCCTTTTGGTTATGAGCAGTACTATACAGTACTTTAAGAGTTAAGACTGCTTTCCAGTTTATACGTGCATGCATGTGCGCACGTGAAAAAGATTAAATCTTTCTAAATTTTATGTACGTACTAATGACATCAATAAATGCACTTTAATTAAACAGAGCTAAATCCTGTCCTTTTATTCAATTAGGTATTTCATATATAGGTAAAATGTGAAAGGATTTAAATTTTTCGATGCGTGCAAGCACGTACGAAAAACGCTGAACTGTCACGGAAAGCATGCATCCTGAATGATATGCATGCAGTATATCATTTGAACATATATTACGATTTGTAAAACATATATGTTTCTTTAGTAGTTTACCAGGAGCTCGAATTTTGCAATCGAAACCCTTACACTATCATTTGAAGAACATGATAGAACTGTTATACTGTATATAAAATTAATGTACCAATGCATATGAATTTAGACATTATTGTAAATGCTTTGTATATATGCATAGTATGCATGGTATGCATAGCATGCAAAATATTATGACTCATGGTGTTGATCCCTATTTAGATAGTTACGTCCAGGAAATTGTCAGATGAAGAAGAGTCACAACTTGAGTTCTTTGAGAAACAGGTGAAATAATTAAATATAATTGATTTAGATGATTGACTATTTAAAATATGTTACATTGCAATTGGGCTCTTACAAGACTTGGATTGAGCATTGAAATTTTTATGAATTTTTAGATTAGTATAAGCTATGAAAACGTGCTCCGACGGCGTCCCAATATCAAGCAGAAACATTTTGAAGTATTAGGTATGTTTTAGAACACTTACTGGAAAAAAATGAAATCGCTACTGGAATTTGCAGTTGCATCACTAAATTAGTATATCCATACTATATCCATAGACATAGTAGGAAAATTGCAACATTAGTATATGAAAATTGGATATCCCTACCTCATAGTAAGGATTTTGAAAAACATTCCCAATGACTATAGCTATATGACATAGGCCACTGATGCAACTATACACTTAGTCTAGTAACCTGTGTCCTACTACAAAAAATGTAGTTGGAAATCTGTAGTAAAGTCCTGTGAAATGTTTGTTGCATGTAGAATTCAGTGGTGCCTAAATTACTTTGAATTTGTACTTGAGTAAAAGTAGAAGTAATTAACAATAAAACGACTTGAGTAAGAGTAAAAAGTACAGGAGGCAAAACCTACTTAAGTAAAAAGTACAAAGTATCCTTAAAAAATACTTGAAGTAAAAAGTAAAAGTACTATTGTCTGTAGCGTATAGGCGGGGGCGGGGGGGTCTCCAATGGGTTGACATACAAAAGAGACAATTATATAAACAGCACACGCATTATATGCGTGAACCGAATATACAATATTTCACGGCATGGTCTACTTTCCAGACCCCATTAAAAATATAAGAAATCCATTAAATAAATAATGCTTATAGTACAAGTAAGCCACAAACGAGAAATCCCAGACGCACGTAGAGGTCCTATATATTACCTATCCCAAAATAAAATTAAATTAGGAATAAATCACGTAAGATTGAATAAAAGTTAGAAAGTAACGAAATACTTCGCCACAAAATGAAAATAACGAAGTAAAACGTTACTTTTTAAGACGACTTCGTTCCAAGTAAAAGTACTGCAGAAAAAGTTTACTTTGTTACATGCAAAATGTTTACTTTGTTACATGCTGACTTCTCAAAAATAGTACTCAAGTACAGTAAACGAAGTACATTCAATTCGTTACTTGACACCACTGTTGCAGATACATACCTTCGTTCAGCCACTCATTAAGTAACCTTGGCCAAAAATAAGCTACTTCGGCGATCCTATTTATTGTGACGTGGATCCTACAGTATAATCTAATATGTAAACTTAAATCTATGCTTTTCTGAATTTATTCAAAAGTTTGATGTTCCGATCCGCGGTAATCTGATTTCCGGATCAGCAGAGCATGGGTTGCATTGGCATAGACAGTACTAATATGTTCTTTGACATTGGCATATATAATAAGTTCATTCACTACCAAATTGGTAAACGCAACGTTTATTTATTATTGAAAAGCTTTCAATCCGTAATCCCGAATCTTCATTAGTGCTAATAGTATTAAAAATTTGCAGGGTGTATAAAAAAGTATACAATTGTAAAATGACCATGCACTCAGTAAAAAAAGTAAAAAATCCGCAAAAATTTGAAGAATTTATGAATATGCATGGATATTATATACAGTCTTCTCATTCCCTAATACTGAAACTAAGCTGAAAAATTACCTTCTTAGTTCAGGAAGGCTGTCTTTAATTAAAAACACATTAAAATTGGCATGCGCACAAAAATAAAAGCTTTAAAACACAATTTGAGTTCCTATAGCCATAGGGCACAAGCTTCGAAAGTGTTTATGAACTAAAAAAAAACAGTGTTAGAAAATGCCTGGCGCAAGGAAATATTTGACAAAATATCTTCACAGGAAATCTTATATTTTGCAGGAATTTTTTGTGGAATGAAATGTACAATACATGGACAATACATGGAATGCCATGTACAATATTTAATATATTGTTTACAAAAGCGTTTTGCAAGTCGAGATTATACAGGAAGTTTTATATTTGACTTACACAGGAAATTTAGATTTTTGGATTTTGCTGCTAGAAAGAAAAATATTTACGGGTATAACTGGGAACTCTACTTCTGGCTTCCTTGAGAAAGGAAATATACAAGCATGCAAATTCTCACCCCTTCAGATGGAAGATATAATTATATTAATAATAATAATGATTTCACCCAACTCTAGGTGGAATGTACGAAAAAAGTTTTGCGCTTCTGTCTGAAAGAATCATTGAATATGTAAGTATTAGATATGAAAAACCAGTTTCATATTAATCTATTATTATGAATGAGATATGAAAAACTAGTTTCATCTTAATATGAAACTAGTTTTTCGTATCTCTGAGGGTGGTTCTGAAGTATTAGATATGTACACTGTATACTATTACATGATAGCGAGAAATACAGTACCTGATAAACTTATGGACCTCGCCTAATAAAAAGAAACTACTTCCTGTAATTGTTAAATCTGGAATCTAGATTATACCATTCAATCAATCAGCTTGCCCGGTGTGGATGCACACTCAGAGTAACATCACAAACATCATATTCACCTAAGTACATAACACCAGCACACACAAGAAAATTACTTTTAGAAAGGTTGAAAAAGACACTCTCCGGTGGATAGCGCTATCCGGCCAAAGTCAAGCCATATATAGTTATTGCCATAAACAACAGCAAGTGAATATGTTCAATCCACTGGTCAGTCTCAGACAATCGAGAGGAACTTTCCTGCATGATTAGTGTCTAATGTCTGTCGTCTCATGACACAATTGATCCCACGGCCTCGTCAATGCAAAGAATTTTGACTCAAAAACGTGGGAAAAATATGAACATTGAGTAAAATTACTCAACTTTATGTGCAATTTTTAGTGATGTACATCTTTACTCAAAAAATTGAGTAAATTTGCTCATAAGTTTGAGTGATTTTTCAGTTATTTTACTCGGTGACGTTTTTGAGTCGAAATAATATTGGGATTTTTGCAGTGATATTGGTTAAAGTTTCAGACCTCATGGACTATATTTTCAGTCTCTTAAGCTTAGCAAGATTGCTCGTTATATTTTCTATCCTTAGCTGCAAGAGGTCACCGAAGCATCCTCTGGTCTGATCTTGGCTGTTGATTCTGCTTCTGATGAACTATATCATAAGGTAAATACCATAATTGATACTTTAGTATACATTCACAAAGTACATTCTGTATCATACTGCTCACGATTTCGAAGAATGAGTGTGTTTAGGACCGTCCCAAAGCGGACTTCCCATACGTGCACGCGCGGATACCAAAATGATAATCGCAAATAATGGGTGGGGACAAAAAAAAATGGACAATGTAAAACCAACTGTAAAATGAGTTTGATCGACACATCTATTTGGAGCTCACAAGAATTACAAATACGAAATGGCATTACCTCGTACATACGGAATGACAAAAGTGCATTAGGAAGCTTATTTATAGAGAAAATATAGAGATAGAAATGTCAGATGGAGTAAAAATCGCTTTGGACAAGCCATCTATAAACTGCCGTGGAAGTATACACTATATTAGTGTGCCTACAGTGTTCATGCCGATGCCATAAGTCATTTGGAGATAAAACGTCAAAAAGAATTCTCTCATGATGGTACCAACACCTTACCTTTGATATATTTCCTTAATTTATTTGTAGCAATTTCAAAGACATCTCTTGTCAATGATAGTCGCACAAATTTATCAAATTCCATTTGCAGCAGATCCATTGTATTTCTTTGGGACAATGATAATAACCTGAATCTTCAAAAAAGTTTTTTTTTTATACGAGAGAGTGCACAAATCACGTTGTTTTGTCTATTGTGCACATTGTAGGCCAAAAATGCTGGTTCTAGAATTGCCACCTGTTAACAACATATATGTCGTATGATAGTCGCGAGTAAACAAGCATTCACAGTTTCACTTAAACTTTTACACCAAATGAAAAAATATAGGATACGTAGCCAGGTTGAAACATTATTTATTGAACGTTCTCTGATTTAATATTTATTTCTACGAGCTTTCGGCTATCAGTCTATAGCCTTCGACGGGTGTATACAAATGATTCTATAAAGGACGCTAAACTTAAGTAGGTGGTATGAAATCTGAGACTACTGAGACTATCTATGCTATGTTATAAATGGGTAATATGAATACTTAATTAATTAATGTTTCTTGAGTTCCTTTCTTAAAAGTATTGTGTATTGTGCTGGAAGCGTATTAGAGCGTCGAAGGCTATAATAGACTGATAGCCGAAAGCTCGTAGAAATAAATATCAAGTCAGAGAACGTTCAATAAATAATACACCAACGTTTGCCTGGTACAAAAGGCTGCACAGTGTGCTCAGAAATTTGTCCACATTTTTCGTCTCTACCCGTCTCATCAACCTCCTTCAGTGTATGTGGATGGTTGCGTTCCACTTCTGTGAAAACAGTCTTTATCAGTTGATGTGTTGAATTAACTTGGGGCATGCTTAAAACTGAACAAAAATGTTTTAAACTTTTTCTTAATTGTAGTTATACAATTCATATTCTTAATCTCTTCTGGAGTCCATTCCACCAGATTCTTCTCTCATGCAGATGTAATTCCTTTATTAGTTGATCTTAACAGTCTGTTAGGTTGATACGGAGTTCAAATATCACATAAGTACCTTTGTGCTGTACCATTTAGCGCCTTTAATGTCAGTCTTACAGGGGGCAGTTGTATAAAAAAGTGATTAAAGTTAACTATAGTTAGTGCAAACGTCATCCAATAAGAAGCGCGTATTTGAGAATTAATCACTATTTAACTACAAAATAGTGATTAAAAAAGTGATTAAGAGTTTTATACAACCGGCCCCAGGTCACCTTCTTTGGCTTTCTGCAGAGAATCGCTACTGCGCTACTTTAATATAAGGTGTCAAAGGTGTCAAGTTGACAAACAATAAAATAATTTATGAATTAATCAGGAATTTTTAAAATCGCGGTCCTAATATATAGGCCCCCGCCCTCCCCCCGTTCATTCCTCTGTTTCGCCCGTTTTGGTAGTATATTTACTCCTCTGCATGTATATAGGAGTATAGGCACCCTCCCCGTCCCCCCGCTCATTCCCCTGTTTCGTACGCCAGGTCAATTCTGCATAACTATATATTGATTGATAAGTCTCTATATTAACTGATATTTTCAAATCGATATTGTAGGTGAAGCGTGATGACGGTGAGCTGGTAGAAAATAGGTTCGAGGTAATTTTTATAGGGTTAAGTCGAGCTCTGCGGTTAACCAAAAGTTTCGGTCGAACCGTTCCTTTCATAGAACCGGAAGTATGCATCCAGCATGCGCAAAAGAACCGGTGGTTTCGGAAATTTCGTTAACCTGACGAAAAATATAAATGAAATGTTTAAGGAATTTCTAAGGAATTTAATGTTTTGTTGTAATATTACTAAAAACGGCTCTTTCTTGGCCGTTAAAAAGGCGCAAACAAAGACATTTTTTTGATAATCTTTTTCATAATCAATGGAGATGTTTTTGTTTCATTTAACTTGTTATAAGTTGTTAATTTCGAAGCTATATTATACAATCTATTGAGCAAATGGTTGCAATTGTTTTTCTTTTGAAAATGCCAACACTGAACCAAGGTTCTTCCATCCTAAGAAGACCGGAACCGATATGAAATTTCTGGAACCGCACAGCTCTACAGTTCAGCGTTTTTCATACTTACGTATACACACGAAAAGTTTAAATTTTACCTATATGAAATATATAAATAAATAAATTAACAGAACAGCACTTAGTCGTGTGTATGATTATATGTGAATTTGTTGAGGTAATTAGTATTTACCGAAAATTACACTCTCTGTGAGTTGAATACGATGTTTTATTTTCTTTTTATCAGCGCAATTAGTATTTGTTGCTTGTCTTTTAATAACCATTTCTTTGGTATAGAATCTAGATTTCCAAAGTGTCGAAATTTTGAGAAGCACCCTACATGTGCACTGAATTGATTATTATTTTAAGTCCACTTTGATCCAAAAATGTTTTTCAGTTGACTGGGACACTCTTCGAGAAAGTTGTCAAGACTGGATCCAAAGTAAATCTTTCCAATATAACCTCTGTAAGTGCAGTTTGTAGTTTTACACTTTTACGGAGAAAATCCATTCCGTTGCATCACTGTACTCACATGCGCATACAGGCAAATTTAATATTCTATACCAGCTACAATTATACATTGTTGCTGCATGCACGCATTAATTAGTATACACGGTGTAATATCATGTGATGGCGAGTACAATTAAGGATTAACAGTTCGAGTCATGTTTGAAAATTCTGCCAAAATTGGACGAGCTGCCAGATTGAATTTTCTCACCCATGCTTTTCAAAACTCATTGTACTGTTTCTTTACATGAAAGCATTAATTCTGGATACTCGCTGCATGCGTTCAGTTCCAAATATTATATCGGACTATTTTTTTTATGAAACTCTTGAAATTGTGAAAGAAAAGGGAAAAAATCATGCTCTTGCATGTTGAACCGCCATTTTGAATACTTTTGTTCAAATTTGTTTGTTCAGTTTATATTAATTGTACTGGGCAATACAGTAATTGTACGCCACTCAACCAATAAGAATTCAGTAAATTTGTCATTTAAATAATAAATTAGTCAATTACCATTTAATTACTTTTGTTTCCATTAGGTATCACCATGTCATAACATACTATCCACATTAACAGGTTCGTTCATTTTGTTCAAAACATCCATTATATTTTAACTCGTTATACAATATTTCACCATAAGAGCTGCCATTGAAGAGTAGCTTGCGAGAAGTGAGGTTTTATTGGTTGTATCTGATTCAAAACCAATTGGATTTTTATAAGTGAAAGTGACATTTGACTGTTGAAAGTGACGCTTGTATGACTGTTTCATTTTCTAGACGCTGCTGTGAAGTCACTTTTGTGTGTCCCTGTCGTTCATGGCCAAAGTAAAGAGATATTTTGTGTTATTTGTCTTTTCAACGAGAAATCGTCAGAAAGGTTAGTTCTCTTTAAGAGATTGATTGTTTTGGATTTGTTTTATTTTCTAAGTTACCTGTTTTATGACTACGATTGTTTTGCCATTTGTGTCTAGTTTCTCGCAGTTGATAGAAGACACTGTTTGCTCCACATGTGATTATTTCTATGCTCAACTTTTCAATGCATTAGAGTGGGAGAAGGAACTCGTTTATCGTCGACAACAGGAGGTACATGTATCTATAAATCGCATGGATGTATATCATTTTTTTGAAACGGAACAAAAATGTGCATGTAGGCCTATATAATATATATACACAGCTACTGTATATAGTGTAGAGCGATATTTAATAATTTAAACAAAGTTTATGGTAATGTAGAATGTCCATAGTGACATAAGACCTATAATAATAGTAATTATTGTTTACAATATTCCATTAATTAATGTCATTAATTATATACTTTACTTTAAATTTACTTTTCTAGCATCTATTAAATGTTGCGAAGAATTTATTCATTCATCTTGGTAAGAGATAACGTATTTTGGTTCGGGTTTTTTCTAGGCATTTGTGATAGAGATAACGTATTTGTGGTTCGGTTCATTCGGGTACGGTTGCCTATAGTAACATATCAATTTTATAACATAACCTATAATTCGTTTAATCAACCACAGAATAATTTTAATTCAAATACATGTATATCGATATTCGATACGTTGAGCGACCAACATCTAAGGTAACGACTAATGATACTGTACGTAACAACTATTAATTTTTATTATTTTAGATGATGTGACTGTTCTTCTCACCGAGATCTTACAAGGAGCTAGGAACTTAATTCAAGCTGAAATGTACGTATAAACTAACGCCTATGTATAATTGCGACTGAAAAGGGGATTGTATTGTTGCTCCTGAAAATCTGCTATAATTGTCCAATGTGATCAGATTGATTTTCATTGCCATTGGTTTCATTGGAAGTACAATTGCAACCTGTGCTCGAAAAGATGAGACTTTTTTGAGACGTGACTCAAATGAGCGTATTGTATTGGTCAAGTGTGCTTTGATATCGTCTTTAGATAAGTTTTCCCACTTTTTGGTTGATATAAAGATGGCTTGTTCCTTTCTCGTGAGAACACGCTATTAGTAACTGGCCGAAATATGGAATTTTTACATAAAATCAATACACGACATAGAGCTACATCTGTATCATGCAGTGGATGAGCAAACACGTCAGTCTGCATATTCATAGAAAATCCTCTATTTTTGGAAGCTTTGGAAGCTTTTCTTGGTTTCTTGGTTTTTCTCAATGATTTAGTGATTAATAGTTTCATTTCAACAAAATATAGGAAACTTAGTGAAGAACCTCAAACGAAACTTGCTATAGTGAGCTGGCTTTTCATTATTTATAGATGTTCGTTGTTTCTAGTGGATAAAGAACGACAGGAACTCGTTTCTAAAGTATTCTTCAATAATACGGGACACGAAAATGGAGAAAAAGAGGTAACAAGTGTAATTACTTATCTTGCATCGTTTGCTGGATTTTGAACAATAAAAGCAAAAACCCCGAAGCGTCTTTGATCAACCTAAATCAAAGACACACACACAGCGGCCTAACCAGGGTGTTAATAATAATAATAATAATAAAATTTCTATGGCGCATATACATTGCTGTTCTATATGCGCTTGTTGACAATGGGGGAGGGTGACAACACAAACATAGATTTCAAAGGGGTTGAATACTAGGGGTCCTGGACATGCTCCCCGGAGAAATTTGAGTTTCTTTAAAATTTGCTTTAAAGAATACCTCTACTGACTGTTGAGTAAAACATTGTGTTTGACGAAACCCGCAGCTATATTTAAGCCTGGTTTCCATATGGTTGTAACTGTCGCGAACGTGTCGCCACTGTGTCGTGAAGTGTTTGTCGGAAGTGATTTTTATGCTTATTTCTATAGTTATGTAACTGTCGCGATACTGTCGTGCACTGTCGCAATTTCGTACCCAGAGGTCGTACAAACAGCTGGCGGCAGTTTTAAAAAGACAAACACGGTCCTCCAAAGGGGAGCTTTGCCCCTCCCCTGATTGTCGCAAAACTGTTGCCACACTGTCGTTTTTCTGTTTCCATTACAACATAACCGTCACGACACGTTCTTAGCCTGTCGCAACTGTCGTCGCAGACGTTGGGATAGAAATCGAGTCTATCTCGACAACACTGTTGTAACTGTCGTGAACTGTTGCCAGCGTGTCGCGATAAGACTTTTCTTCATGTTTCCATTTGGTCGCGAACACTACTCTGACGACAGTTACAACACGTTCGACAGTTACGACCATATGGAAACCAGGTTTTAATACAGAAATTTGCTCGTCTGTAACCGGGACGAAACGGGAAGTCATTTTGTTTTTGTCCGGAAGTGAATAGTGCAAGGATATCTGGAGCTGAGCAACCAATCAAATTGCGTGAGAAGCACTATCCACTTCCCGAATACATGCTAATTATCGATAATGCAATATACAGTACGTACCTATTGGTCATTTCTGTTCGTATACACGAACTGACTGAAAACCTCGGTCATGCGTGTAAGGTTTCCTATTAACTTAATCATGTACAACAGTTAACGTATAATTTCATATTATATGTTTTTCAGGAAGCGAGAGAAGTTAGAGTCCCACTGGGACAAGGCATCGCCGGACATGTTGCTCAAACTGGTAAATTGAAAATTCAATACCTTTCTCTTTCTGACAGTATTTGAAGGGTCAATCACCCTACAATATGTCATTTGATACACTGGAATGCGTACATGTAAGGTCTCGTTATAAAAAAGGGCAGAAGACTTAAAGTTAATAATAAAACTGTTGCATTTTTCTTAGGTGTAATGTTAAACATCAAAGATGCTTATTCTCATCCTTTATTTTGTCGAGACGTTGACAGAGAGACTGGCTTTAAAACCAAGTAATAAGGGTTATTATACTACTATTTTTATGCTAGAGTTAACATTATTAGCGCGAAAACACTATAGCCAATCGAAACGCTGGTACGGTAATATACCAGGGGTGAAAAAATCGTCCGACAAATCAAAACGCTGAGACGATAAATTTCACATGCGAAAATATCGTCCGCCGTGATGAGGACACGATTTTTATTTCACCCATCTATACAGCTTACATATCTTTCCATTAGTTGAAACATAGTTGAATTCACATTAGAGACGGGAAACTCGTCTAATATAAATCCGGCAGCAGACGAGTTTTTTCCGTCTCGACTTTTCTGTCCAAACAGAAATCCAATAAAGATAAAGCGTTGCCAAGCAAGCGAAAACTTGAACTAGAATTATCGAGATAAACATAATTATATATTTTATATAAACCTTACATAACATGTCAGACGGATTTATAGTTCAGACGCGGGATTTCATGGACGAATTTCCCGTCTTAATATAATTCGGCTATCGCCTTCCCAGTGTAGTTTAAACACATATACTGTACTGTATGTAGCGGCTACCGCATCACCATTCATGCATGCAGACTATTAATATTTTTTTTTGTTTTATTTTAAGAAATATCTTGTGCTTTCCTATCAGAGACGAAAAAGGTTCGATTTAATTGTTTGTAATGTTATACTTGTAGTTTGTACATTTATGTAGTTGATTTCATCATACTATTACTACATTTTAATTATGTAGAAGTTATTGGTGTTGGACAACTGGTTAATAAAATTAATGGTTAGTGACGACTGATGTTTTGTATCTACATACATGTACACACATTTTGATTCCTACAAATTAGTTCACAGCTTAGACAAACTTTTATAGTTTCATATACTATCTAGTAATAATTTCTTCATTTAGGTCCAGCTTTCACCCGTATTGACGAAGACTTAACAAAAGCATTTGGAATTTTTTGCGGGATCAGTATTTGCCATGTAAGCATAAACCCCAAGAACGTCACAAGCAAGGGCGCCCTCATCTAAGAGACCAGTCTTAATTTATGGCGTGGGGCGGCACCAAAGAGAAATGTGATCCAACCGTTAAAACGTCTGATCCAACCGTTAAAAAGTCTCTGGTGGCCCCCTTGGTCTACAGGCCTTTCCATTTGGTATAAAATCTCGTTTTTCGCGTGGCCGATAAAGTAAAAAATACAAGTCAATACATTCTGTTGTACAGTGTTAGGGGTGTATCACTCCAAAAAAGTGTACGGGATTTCTGGGATTTGTACGGGATTTTTTTAGAGATTTTGAGGGATTTTTTACGGATTTTGAGGGATAATTGTTAGGGACTTTTTAGGATTTTTTCTGAGGTGTACGAGATTTCTTGGAGTGATACACCACTCGGTCCAATGCAAGTGTGACCGGAGTGGAGATGAGGGGTAGAACATCTTCCTTCAGGACATGTTTTTTCGTTTGGTCGCAGCTATCGGGGCTAAGTCGTGTTGGAAATTATTGATCATCACTGATTAGACACAGACCGTATTTACTCGATTAAGCGTTGCCTATGAGTAGTATTACAGCAAAAATATTAAAGAGCGCCGCCCTCGAATAAGCGCTACACTTAGACTGCGTTCAGACTACGCCTGAGCGAAATAATATCGGCGGAATTTACGTCATATGTTCACCACTACGCCGTTACAGTTTGTTTACAAATTAAATTGGCACTCATGTAAACCCAAAATATTTCAATTAGAGCAAATAAATTTAAACGAAAAGTATTCGAATTTAAGCGGTTCAAAAAAGTAACGGCGTTTGTGTTCACATGAAGCCGCCAATCACTCCGTTTTCATCTCGCTCCATTGAGAAACCGTACTCAAATTATATTGCGGCAAAAGTGACGTTTTCAAACAATTTCGCTCGGGCTTCTGACTTTCTGTGCCGTTTTCAAACCTCTCCGGCGTTGCTCCGGCGTAGTGTGAACATAGTCTTAATCGAAGCATCGTTGTTCGAGATCAACCACATGCAGTACATGTCAGTCGTTAATCAGCCCCAGAAATTTCTTCAAGCTCCTTTACAGGGCTGCCGAGAGGGGGGCAGGGGCGGCCCCCACCTTAATAGGGCCCCAACTTGGGAGTGAGAGCTTAAAATTGAGTAGGTTCTTTAAATTGGTCAGAGCATTTTTGAAATTGAGGGCCCCTTACAGTAGCTCCACATGCAGTCTAGCTAAGGTCTAGTTGGGTGACTGACTTAGGTCTAGCTTAAAATTAATGATGTCATAGGCCCCCAGAGAAGATTTGCCCCGGGCCCCGCGAATTCTCTCGGCGGCGCTGCAGTCCTGTATTATCCTTTTTTTAAGGGCAAAGTTCTAGAACTTTGGAAATACGCAGCTCCGTTGTGAAGGTAGAGACAAATATTTTCATTTTTAAAGAGCGCCATCCTCAAATAAAGCGCCTCGATAAAACGAGTAAATACGACTTATCGTCACTCTATACACCAGCAAGCTTTATGGTTAAGGTGTGTTTAAGCCTAAGCTTACACCTATATGTTTAAGGTGTGAAAAATTGTGAAAATAACACGTGGTAAAACTGGTTTGAATCCCATTGACTTTATTGTAGAGTCTGTTGTACACGAAAGTGATGGACGCTCAAAATCGAGACAAGATCACGAATGAGCTCATGATTTATCACATGAAGGTATGTAGTATCTATCTTGCATACTTGCATACAATTTATTAGTTATCCCTCATATAGAGGGCAAAATTACTCAAATATGATTGGCTAGTGAGGAGGCAAAATTATTTATACCTCGTGATTGGCTGACGCAAGCGCATTCTTCTCTTAAAGAGCGATGAAAGCAATGTCTTCTTGCTTTATCGTTGCGGATAATGATGTTATTGAAGAATTAAAAACTTCTAGTGAAAACTCGAACACTAGAAAAAGTACATATTCATGGGTTGGAGTATTTAAGAAATGGGCAGCATTAAGGAACATCGGCGAAGACATGGAGACATGTACGAGGTTCAAGACCTTGACAAGTTCACAATTTGCTTAATACGAATAAGTAGTGCCCTTTATGATTAACACGTAATCGCATAGTTCCTCGTAAGATTAAGGTTTAATTTAACTTGTGTTTTCAAAGTTTCACAAATTGCCCTGCGATTCCGGTGCGGTGTTCTCAGAGAAACAGTTGTGGAGTTCTAACCACAGGTTCATGGTATTAATAGCATGGTGATACCAATGTACTATATTTCGCAACTGATCCTGGTTAGGTCTAATAAATGTGTGTAAAAATTCCACTCGAAATTCCATCTATACAAATCCCTTCAACAATCCGTTACATCTCGTGATATGCCCAAAATCCTGGTATTCTCGACATATGTTTGCATGTTTATTCCTTGTTCTTCACTTCATTTGCTTTGTTTACTCCTGGATTTATTCACCGTTTCTACAATTGTTTTATGTATGCAGGTCACTCCAAAAGATGTCCAGTACTACTCTTCGCAAAAGATTCCAAAACCACAAGAAGTAGATGAAGCCTTTAGGCATATACTTTTTCGACCACGACTAGCGCCGAAACTAGAGTTTGTAAAGGTACAGAAACACTGCTAACTTTGTTATGGTCTGTGCCAGTGTAGGTGCTGCCAATAATAAGAAAGTTTCGGAATGATCATGATGTAACTACCTGTAAATGCAAGGAGAACTGAACGGACGAAGGGCCTTCGCTCGAAACGTCGACGTTTTCCTTGTCTTTTTGAGGTAGTTGCATTCCTATCAACTCGAAGCTCTCTTAACTTTGTTAGTTTTACTATTTTAACCATAAATATCGATACACTGAAATAGAACAAGACTTGTATTGATAAATTTTGACTGCATCGCTCTTCCAAATTTTCGCCCCTCGTTATACATATCTCCAAGTTTCGTTCGAAGCATTAAAAAGGTAATTGACACAAAGATGAATGGCTATCACTTTTTCAATTGGACAGAAAAGCATTGTTGCAAACTGTAGACTTAAATGTCCACTTTGATCAATCGTTTGACCTCTCCCAAGGGATTTTTTAGGGAGATGGGGGCATGGGATTTTTCAGGGGGGGGGGGGCAATATCTTAGGCGAAGCGGGAAACGAGTGGTGGGGTGGCGCGCACCTCGCCTCAGAATCCGGTCATGAACAATAGTTAAGCATACAAAATTTTAACTCGATGGGCTTAAGCTAGTCTCCTGAGGGATAGATCGAGCCGGATCTGAGGGGGAGAGTGAGGTGTTATATATCGAACGCTGGTCATGGTTTAGGGTGCGACCTTTAACTAAATCCTGTTATCTAGTCTGTAGTCGATCTTGCTTGGCAAATTTACAGTCATGTTACTATCTCATTTTGGAGTGCGAAATGGAAGCAGGAAGCGGAGCCTATATACAATTTCGACTCAAGCATAGGAAACCTGAAATATGTTTGAACTAATGGTTTCTTATACAATGTTTAGGCGTGTTTAAGTATGTTCGAAGATCTGGATCTTATAAGAAAATGGAAAATTTCCTATGAAACGTTAATCAGGTATGTTGATAAATAAATTTTAATCTTTGCATATGTGGGACTACTGGGACATAAAATTATATTGGCAATTATTAAATTCTTGCTGCACAGTAGAAACTCGTTTCAATGTTGTAGCATTAAACGCGTTTTCGTTTGATATAACCACATTTCAGACTCTAGTTAGGGCACTTCATAATACAAGTATTGTTAGCCCGCCCTATTAACTTATCCTATGGAAAAGCCAACAAGAGATGATGGAAGGAACCTATTCATTGTGTAATATTGGAAGTTCTGGTTCAACGTACAAACCCCCAATGAATTCTATAGCTCCGAAGTAATATTTAGTTTGGTTTATTTTATTAAATTTGCCAGACACAACTAACACAATGATAATTAATTACACATCGCATAATTACAAAATGCGGCAGGATTGGGTACAGGAGACTATTGGCCCAATTGGCAGCCAATATTAAAGGAAAATGGCAATAGAAATTGTTGTTTGTGATGTTACTCTGAGTGTATATCCACACCGGGCGAGCTTGAAAAATATGCCCGGCCACGGTGGAAATCGAACCTACGACCTTTGGTATACTAGCCCAGTATGGGCTAGTAGGTCGTAGGTTCGATTCCAAAGGTCGTAGGTTCGATTCCCACCGTGGCCGGGCATATTTTTTCAAGCTCGCCCGGTGTGGATATACACTCAGAGTAACTTCACAAACATCATATTCACCTGAGTACACGACACCAACACAGAAAAAAAACATGTTACTAGATTACATTGGTATCGAAGGAACTAGATTCTGTTCCGAAATATCACTTACTCGAACCAACCTGACCGCGTAGCTCGGTTGGCAGAGCATTGGGCTAGTATTCCAAAGGTCGTAGGTTCGATTCCCACCGTGGCCGGGCATATTTTTCAAGCTCGCCGGGTGAGGATATACACTGAGAATAACATCACAAACATCATATTCACCCGAGCACACAACACCAACACAGAAAAAAATAATAGAAATTGTGTTTGACGTCTAATTTGAAAGAATATTGCGATTATTACAACCAAAACATTCTGCCATCCGCCATCTTGTTTTATAATTGGATTTAATTAAATGACGTCACAACTAGGATACACTTGTTAAAACTAAGAAATAATGTCAGGGGTAAGCTTGTGCAAGGGCGGGGCTTTGTCAGAGCAAACGCCTTTCACCTCTGAGGAGTCTGAGATTGTGGGTTTGATCCTCACATCGAACTGGTGACACTTATGTGAAAAGAGTTAGTCAACGCTCTACCAAAAGTCGTGGGTTTTCTTCGTTTACTCCGGTTTCCTCCCACGGGAAATGTTGACAGGGTGGCCTGGGTGGGTTGGGATTACCTTCCAAACTCACCCTTCCACCGTAGCTGTGCTCCGTGATTAGACATAAGTCGTAAGGCGGCTGCCAGAGGCGCCCTTAGTAAGGCTTCGACTCGATCAGGTTGATCGAGCTGCATCCTTCGTAATTCAGCTTAGCTCTCAGATGTAAGCAAAGTTGATTAGCACAGCCCACTTACTTACTTAATTGCTTACACAGCTTGTGGTTTAATTTAAAATGTACATGAGTTACGAAATAGGATTTAGCATTAAAATGACCAGAGAATTCCTCCAAATACAAAATAACTTACCCCGGTTGGAACGTCATGCACGCATATCTGACGATGGATATGGATATCCAAGATGGCGGAATGTGTAACGATTTTGTTTGAAATGAAGGGTAATATCTTTTAGTGCAAAAGAACGATAAAGAAAATCTGTAATAAGATTTTAGAATTTATTGTATCACTGTTCCAAATAGGAGACTTAACTTTGATTGGTAATTATTTCCTCCCTATTAATTTTTCAGATTTATCTTGATGGTAAAGAAAGGTTATCGAGAACTTCCATATCACAACTGGACTCATGCCTTCACAGTCAGCCACTTCTGTTATTTACTCTACAAAAATCTCAACCAAATCGGAAGCTTTAGGTAATATATATATATATATATATATATATATATATATATATATATATATATATATATATATATATATATATATATATATATATATATATATATATATATATATATTGCGATTTAGATACGTATTTTTACTTGTTGAAAACCATAAAAGCATTTACTTGTGTTAAAAAACCCGGCCCGCGGCCAACCGACAATTTAAGAAAATATAAAAAGCAACAAATCCCGAATTATAATAATGCCAAATCTTTTTTTTTAAAAGGACGAACGTTTTGAATTTCGAATGTTGAATTATTATTATTATTCGGAATTTGTTTGTTTTTGTATTATGTTAAAAAATCTAAAGAGTTTGATATTTTTACAAAAGTCACGCAACTGCCGTTGCTAGGGTAACAATGATGTTTCAATATGGCGAATATTTTGGCTTTAAAGTGATTTGTTTTGGCTTTAAAATTTTGGCTTTAAACGACATTTATTTATTTCATAAAATAATTTCCCTTATAGTATATTCCATTATCTTGACAATTTAAAAAGAATTCTGTTGAAAAGTTGAAAACGTAATTTGAAAATTTTTGGCTCAACAGAATTTTTTTAAAATAAGATAATTGAATATACTATGATAAAATCCTTTTATGAAATAAAATTTGGGGATCACCGATGTCGTTTTCGAACTAAATTACTTTAAAGCTAAAAATATTCGCTACGACTCGATAGAGCACATTTTCAAGATACTTAATGCCCGGTCACACTACACAACGATAACGATACCGTACGGTAACTTGTAAACATGAGATGATAGGCAAAAAAAAATTATGTTAGTGTCCACACTACAACGAAAATATAAAATTATCGTTTGGTGATAACGATTTTTTCAGTCGGACGATAGCGTTGAATTTTTGACCAATCAGGGCGTGTATACAAGTTATCGTTATCGTTGTGTAGTGTGACCGGACCACCTGACTTTTTGAAGTGTTAAATTTCATATTTAAATTCACGTTTGGTTTTAATTCAGATAATTCAATTCGATAATTCGGTCCATATCCAAACAGCTTAATTTTTGCCCAATGAATGCAATAATTTGCCGACTCGTTCATGAGTGGAGGGTGTTCGACTCCCCTAGGAATACTCTACACCCTCCACCTTGGCTTAACACCGCAATCATGCGATTTAGATGATTGTATTTCTTTATTTTATAGCGATATGGAGATCCTTTCGCTCTTTGTTTCATGTCTTTGTCACGACTTGGACCATCGAGGAACTAATAATGCCTTTCAAGTATCTTATGTAAGTTGTTTGTAAATACTAGAGACCTTACGATTTTAGGACGGCTACGCGACGACGACTGCCAAAACAAACTCTTTCAAATCAATGGTAGTAAAGATAATTCGTGGTACATTATCAATCGTATGAATTTAATACAGTCTTAGAAGTTGAAGACATGGGTTTTATGGTTGGGAAGAGTTCTCCTGAACCCAGTTTGAAGATGCACTTGTTGCGGCTTGGAATGCAGCCGTTGTATCAAGACGTGAAAATCTGTGATTTGGCGTTGTAAACAGAGCGAGGATAATGTCTAAATCATTCACATATTCTAATTTTTCAATTCTTTTCAATGATCTATTGTATTGGTAGCCGTTGCCGTCGCGTTGCCGTCCTAAAATCGTAAGGTCTCTATTATGATGTCGAAAGAGCAAGCGCCTTTGACCTATGAGATTGTGCGTTTGATTCTTTCTTCGCCCACTATGTGAAAATATACTACACTATATACAGGGTGTCTAAAACGCTATGGAAATTCAACAGGCTGTTGTGCATCACAAACTTAACTAAACAATTCAATTTTTACATAGGACGAAAGAGCTGTTATTAGCTTCTCTATGATGATATTTTTCTTAAACCGTAACGATGAGCAATGGCCACATACTCGTCAAATAAAAATTTTCGGTCGAAATCACATTCTTCCACCTTCAATCACATTCTTTATGCAAATTTAATCAATCCAGAAGCACCGCGAGTCTGCTGCAAGGTACTTGTTTCGTAAAACGTTTTGATTACGAATGTTTTCTGTACAGGGGTTAATTGAACCATGTTTAATGCAATAATGGACGTTCTCAACCTCCGTCGCAGGGACTTTCCAAAAAGACCCTGGGTACGAGGATGGGACGTTCTTATGGTCTCACTAAGACGAAGATTGACGAGTTCAGCTGAACTAGATAATTTAACGTTCAATTTTAATTCCCTGTTGGGAATTGTTTATGTTTCGTTTTTCATGCAATTCCCAACGGTGGAAGAATGTGATTTCGACCGGCAATTTTTATTTGACGAGTATGTGACCATTTCTCATCGTTACGATTTAAAAAGTGTATCATTGAAAAGCTAAATAACTGTTCTTTCGTCCTATGTAAAAATTGAATTGTTTAGCCACGTTTATGATGCACGACAGCCTATTGAATTTCCATAGCATTTTTTTAGACACCCTGTATATTCAATAACTGTTGTTGATACCCGAGACATACATTTTTGTTCTAGAACTCGCTCCTGGCTGCCTTATACAGTTCTGAGGGATCAGTCATGGAGGTACATGCATGTACACGCAGTTGCAATATCGTAGATTATTCTCATCATTTTTTTTTTACATGATTTTCTTTTCAGCAATATATTAATGTTGACATTTTGCTTTATCCCTAGAGACACCACTTTGCTCAAACATGTTGCATATTGAGCACAGAAGGATGTAATATATTTGAGAACTTGAATGGAAAAGTAAGTGATTGATAAATAGCCTTAATCATGCTGCAATGATCACTGGTTTAATCTGTCCACTTTATAAATCAATTTCGCTTTTTTTCTTTTCACAGGAATATCACGAAATAATGGATTTAACAAGAAAGATAATTTTAGCTACGGACTTATCACATCACTTCAAAATACTAAAAGATCTGAAAAAACTCGCACGAGGTAAAATTTGTATGAACAACGTACAGTTGTACCAGGCTAAATTAGATTTGAAATGCTCACATGCTTGAAAATGGATGGAAGAAAGCCCTCAAATGCCTCACAATTGTTGCATGAATGAGGCTGAGCATGATATGAAAAATTTTCACGTTTGAAGTTTGTGTTGTCAAACGAAGCCAGATGCTAAGGTTGATAACATAAAATTCAGGCTTGTCAATTCTTCATATCTGGCGAAAACCGAATTCAATAATTGTTTTATTTCTTTATTTAAAATATGAAAAAGACATCCATTAAGATGTCACCGTCGTCACGTCGTTGAATATTATGTAAAGTATTGAGTTGATATTACGATTTCACAGTTGGCTGTTAGCCAACTTTGGAATGTGATCTCATAACATAATAATTTATGACAACTTTGAAATTTAGGTACTCCCCTTTTAGATTAAAAAAGATCGTCAAGTTTAGATTAGGGTTAGATGATTAAGGTTAGAGATTCAACATGCGTCGCGAATTTATTGTATTAATAAATTCGGACGTGTTTATAACAATTTAAAAATTTTGAAAAATTCTGACGAGTAAGAAAAAAATACGTTTGGTGGACGCGTTTACCTAAAATTTCCCTTGTTCTGCCCGACACTATAAAACAATAAATAATCAAAAAAGTACAGCTACCGAACAACGTGCGATCAGTTGTGTAACTCAACCAACGTTGTATCAAAATTTGAAGATAACCCGAGTTTCGAAACCGCAATTTTGTGCGTTCATTTCGCAGGAAATCCGCATTTTCGGGTCAAGGCAGAACGAGAAAAGTTTTAATTTAACGCTCACCAAACGTATTTTTTTTGTAATCTGCAGCATTTTGCTGGCTTTCTTCACTGAAAATTTGGTAACGACCAATCTACCAAAACGCGCGTCAATCGTGTGATGTGACCTTAAACTCACCGTAAAACTCTCTGAAGTTTCCCCAACCTTCCGATCATGTCAATTCCAATTAATTATGGCCACCACTATCATTCTGCTATTTTAGTTGGTTTCAATCCATCCGATGAGACTCAAAGAGAACTGTTGTTGTACCTCATGATGACGTCATGCGATTTGTCTGACCAAGTCAAACCGTTTGATTCAGCTAGCGCTGCAGCGGTAATGGAATTCAATGTTTTCTTCTTTAGATCATGATTCCTATTTGATTTTAAAAAATTGATAGATTCTTTCTTTTAAATAGTAAAAAAACTTTGGAATTTGTTTGTGACGACGTTGGAGTGATATTGTACTTTAGTTTCAATATTTTTAAAACAGCTTATATGACATTAATTTTCTTTCATATCGCGTAGGACCTCGTCTATGCAGAATATTTTTCTCAAGGAGATCTGGTGAGTTGGATTCAATCATTATTGGGTTAACTATTGTATTGCTCGTGTTTTATTATATATTAAAATAAAATAATGTCTACTCCCGAGGGAAATAGTTGAGAGAGAAAGAAACATTGAGATTCGAGGGGAAACAAAACTATTTCCCGAGGGAACACAGACATTCATGAATATGACAAAAACTCTATATAGTGAAAATAAATTTAAAATTACAAGAACTTACTCAAACAGTCTCAGCAGCATATTATGTTGTGTGTTGTGTACTTTTCTTCTCTTTTACATTCTTTATTTTAACACAAACTTGGAAAATCGTATAGTGTATAAACTTGCGAGTTGTGTCGCCATTTTGTTTATTCATGTACGTAGCCGGTCGGGGCGGGCAATAATTCTTGACTTGTTGCCCCATGTTTGCCCAATCACGTTTGGCGTTCACCCTAGCTATATAACAACTACATTTGTTCTACTCTGCTCTGCTCTGCATGGGTTATCCAAAGTTGTCAATTGTGTGGCAACGACGTAATACAGATTTTGTGCATTACTGTATACAATATATTAGTCCATATCAGCTTAGGTTGATTCCCAAGTATTTCAAAATCGTACAGTGCATATAAGTTCAATGATTCAGAACAATCTACAGTAGACGTCAGTTTCTTGAAATAGTTCATATTGGAGACGTCAAGGCCTAATGTTACCTTTGCTCTTTAGGAAAAAGCAATGGGGTACAAACCATCAGAAATGATGGACCGAGATCGAGCATGCATTCCAAAGCTACAGATCGATTTCATTGATGGTGTTGTACATCCAACATATAGGTAAGATGTAGAGTAAAGCTTTTCACTTGCAATAGACAACTTGCATGTTAGACTAATTTTTGATTTAGGCAAAAAAAGTAATTTCCCATAAAGAACTTAAAATCAGTAAATTGCAAAATTTGGTTACGAAATGTTGTAAAATATAGAATATATAGCCTTGCGAAGTTTGCATATTTTCAGTATGTTTGTATTACGTGCGGAAATTGTTACCATTTTCGGCTCAAAAATGGTAACAATTTCCGCACGTAATACAAATATACTGAAAATATGCAAACTTCGCAAGACTATATTTTCTGTATTTTACAACATTTCGCAACCAAATTTTGCAATTTTACTAACTCCATTATGTTATTTTTAACTGTTGTGTTTGATTCCCTTCTCTTCACTTAGATTAAAATTTAGTCTAACATGCAATTTGTCCATTGACATGACCATATTGTCATGACCTTGTCATGGTCACTGATGTGAAATATAGTTTGGTACTATAACTTCATTGTGCCATGAGATATTTAGACACTGTAATACATCGGCCACCTTGAAATGGCTTAACCCACGATTAGAAAGAGCTAGCTCGTCTGAGCATGCGTAGATTGTACAACCTGTACTGAATGCTAATGAGCGATCTACCAAATTCATTCAAGGTATTAGTGGGCAAAGTATTTGATACCATGCAAGGAATACTCAGCGACATGACAATTTCTGGTCGTGTTGTTGCTCGGGGGGAAACCTACTGTATGTGCCAACGATTAACAAACCTGATTGTGATCATGAACGTGATGACTTTGACGCGAACTGCAAATATATTACACTGTGTTTCATTCAGAAAAAATCTTAACTGGCCAATTTCCACCGAATACATTCTTGATGCCGTGACCGGCTGTGGTCAGTATCTTTTTTGGGCTTTTTCAAAGCCCAAACATACTAAGACATCTTGTCGAAGTTTGACAACGCGAGCATATGTATATGAGAAATTAATTGTGTTGTGAACGAACTTGCTTTAAGGTGGCTCGCTACAGTTTATAGAAATGTTGAAAATGCGTAAACTAGATCACCTTTTTGTAGAGATGATGCTCTTTACAAATCGAAATTTGTATATTTTATATACAGCGACAATCAAACAGTCGAAAGTTGCTCAGAAAAGTGACGTCACTACTGTTGCTATGGCAACAATGACGATTCAAGATGGCCGATATTTTGGCTTTGAACGCATTTTACTTTAAAAACAGGTCGGTTACCCCCATTTTTTATTTCAGAAAACATTTTCTTATAGTACAATACACTATCTGACCAATTTTTAAAAAATTCTGTGATGCCAATTTTTTTAAAAATTTATAAACATGGTTTTTCGAAATAATTTTTTTTTTTGCATTACAGAATTTTTTTAAAATTGGTCAGATAGTGCATTGCACTATAAGAAAATGTTTTCTGAAATAAAAAATGGGGGTAACCGACCTTTTTTTAAAGTAAAATGCGTTCAAAGCCAAAATATCGGCCATCTTGAATCGTCATTGTTGCCATAGCAACAGTGGTGACGTCACTTTTCTGACCAATTTTCGACTGTTTGATTGTCGCTGTATATATAATATACAAATTTCGATTTGTAAAGAGCATAATCTCTTCAAAAAGGTGATCTAGTTTACGCATTTTCAACATTTCTATAAACTGTAGCGAGCCACCTTAACTATTGGCTGTGTCTATTTCACCTGCAGATTACTGGCTGAAATATTTCCTGAAATGGATGTTTTATGTACTGTAATTGATGAAAATAAAAAACATTGGAAGGAGATCGAAGCAAGTGGAGAATATCGAAAATTTGAAGTTCCGTCTACTTACAGCGCTCCACTTTCTCCGTTACCGCAGTTTGAAAAATGCAAAATTGAACGAAAATTGAATGCACTGCAGCTTAATACGTGGCCAGATAATGATTCCGAAACGTCAAAACATAGCTATACCAACACGTCGCTACGGACAAATGGGGAAGGTGAGACAAAAACAGCTACGTGAGATCTGCAATTACACACCACAATGAGTGAACGTAGAGTGGTATATACATCCGAGAGAAGCAGCACCACGTTGGAGGATCTCGTGGATGGCAATGGACACTTCCCATATATGCTGGCTGGCAATGAAAACTACTCGTTAGTTACAATGGATTACATTGTCCGCCTCGATTTCAAGCAGTTGTTTCATGTGCACTCACGCAAATTCGGGAAGTGTCTTTAAACCTTCACAACCTCGTTCCAGGACGATTTTCGCGCGGTTTTTGTTAGTACATTTTCCGAAGTTGTCTCGTTGACTAATTTCTATAGTTTAGGCGATATTTTTTGAACAAATTTAGTACCTGTACTGTTGAACATTCTTGATATAGGCTTTCTTTTCCTATATTTTATTTAATTTTAAATTATTTCCTTTACCAATGTCTCCATCTTCTTCGATATCGAAACAGGAGAAATATTTCGAATACGGACAATAAAACATTCTACAAAATACCAAGCACAATAAATACCATAGCAAAACGACCCCTTTAATAAGGTTAACAACATGTGTATACAATAACTTTCAATATTTTTGCTGCTTTTTCATGCAACCATATTTCAACACAATTCGGCAAATGTACGAACCAAGACCGCGCTGAAAAGCCTCATGGAACGCGGTTGTGCAGTTATCTTGGAAAGGGTCTATACAGAGCATAACTCCGCGCGTTCTTGTAGATAGCGACAGTTCTTCTTGTTTGAAATCATAATAACGCCATAATTAACAAAACTAATAACGCCATAATTAACAGATTTTAAAGCTATGACCTTTGACGTACGTGATGGTAGAAAAACGTCGACTGTTTCACTCCGAATATCGTAAAAATCCTATACCTTTGATTGACGTCTTTAAAAAACATGGACCTTAAACAAGCAGGCATGTGACTGGAACTGACAGAGATTTATAGGAAAAAAATTTAAAGGATACGGTGCAGTCCGTTCTGCTCATGCGTACATTTGAACCTACTGATCTTGATACAAGCAGTTTAACTTGGTTGTGTGTTCTTGCAAGGTCTGGTTGTGCTACCTTGATCATGTATTTTACTGTAGTGGCAGAAAAATATATTAAAGTTATCCCAACGTCGTTTATAAAGTTATTATTTGGGTACAAAAAATGTAAACAAAGCTGACATGTGCAAACGGGACTGTATCGCACCTTTATGGAAACGCCTTAAGCAGAATTTGTATTTACCCATCTTTTGGTATTACATTTTCCTTTCTATGATATAAAAGAAGAAATGAGCTACATAAACATATTCGCGCATGTCTTATTCGCTTACTTTAATAACCCTTTGTCCATTAATTACCCAGACATTACAACTTAGAGCTCGAAGTTTACAGGCGTAAACCTACAAATTTTGTAATACTGTACCCAACGTTTTTGGAAAGGCGCTTTTTTGCCAAATTCTGACTTGTTCTACACAATATAATTGACATGTGTATCAAGAAGTTTTGTTTTTACAGTAACAACAGATGTCATTGCGTTACTGTGCTGTGCTTGTTTGAGTTCCCTATGCTGCGATGTCGAGCTATTAAAGTTTGGAACGGAAACATGCATGCAGTGTTTTCCCAAGGGTTTGGCAAATACACACAAGGCGTCGCCAAAATATCCCAAGACGCTTGAAAATCTGGCCCAGTCCATCTCCATGACGAGCCGATAGGAAAGTAAAAAAATGTAGTTTCGTTTAACAATATTCACTAAGGAGATAACACAAAAGATTCATGCGTCTTCTTGATATATTGCCAATGCTTACAAATGCAATCGCTAACACTTGCAAGAAAACCAGTGGCATGCCAAACTTAACTGGAAACCATAGTTGTATTGTGAAAATGGTACATTTTGCCTCGACCAATTAGACTCCACAGCACTGGATTATTCCCGTTTACTATTTACACACAAACCTTTTGCACAATTATATATACAGCATCAATATACTTGGAAACAAAGCTGTTTAGGTTATAGTTGGTTTGTTTGTTGTGGAAATACCGCGTTTGTTTATGAAATATAAAGGCATGAATACTAGCCTGTGTGGCAGACAATCTGCTGGCGCCATTGAAATTAATATAACTGGAACGCTACCTTAGATAAACTGCCTATCTTTTTATTGAAGTTATGTCTCGCGATTCTCTCGCGGTACACTTTTATCGCCGAATAAACAATTATTAGAAAAAACTAAAAGTAAAGTCTACATGGAAGCTGTTAAAAAGCTTTTTTTTGTAAGTTTTAGGCCGGTTTTCAAGAACACATATTCATGTTGACCATAGATATCTTATGATGTTGACCAATCGACCGCGCTTGTCGCATGCGTGCAATTACGCATGGGACGGCCTTCAAATTTCCGTTTGGAGGTAACACCGCGGTCAAATGTCCGCGCGTAGTACTGCTTCTTTTCAAAAGACTGGAAATAGTGTTGTCTTCACACGAAGCTCTAGCAAATTACGAGTGCTTAAACTCAGTATAACTTTGTCTTGACCCAAGGAAAAAACACTGGAGTTCCCTTATAGCTTCAGCCGTTTCCTTACAGTAAAAGCTTTTCATTTTCCGTATTTACTATTATTTTGGCAGACATTTCCCCCGCCATTTCCGTATGCTCGCACATGTGTTTTACGTTTGAACGCGGTGTTGTTGGAGGCAGTGTTCCAGTTATATTATTTCAATGGCCTGCATGCACTGTGTGCAATGCACGCTCCAAAAACAAATCAACTATATTAACACTGCATGGCAATACAATGAATTTATTAGAAAACTGATTGGTTTGCACGATCCATTTGAGGTTTTTGTTAATCAAGTCTAATAAATAATACTCGAAACAAGGGTATACGCACTGTACATTACTACTGTAGTACATTACTACTGTATAATAGAAAAAGTAAAGTTATACTTTATCATGTATATATATTTTAAGTTAATATATTTACTAAGTTAACAAAATTTAGTTGGACCATTATATAAGTTTAATAATCATTTGTGCAAAATGTCTGGAGTTCAGAGTTGTTGTTACCAAGAACGAATAATAGGCTGTGCATTCAATCGATCTAGCCTAGTTCCTAGCCTTCCTGGACCTATTGCATGCATGGCCATGAGATCGTTAACGTGCAAGTTTCAAGCTGCTGATCAATAACAGCATCAAAATATTACGATTTAAGGTGGCTCCGGGCTCCCTACAGTTGTCCCTATCTGCCCAACATATCTGCAGTACAGGCTTATTAATAATTCAGATCATGCATTATTTTCTACTTGGAGGCAATATCTAACATCAGCGGGGTTTGGCAATGTCACATGGCGAAGCTATGAAACCGGCTTAGTTTAGCCACAAAATTGTCTTTATCTGAAAAATAAATCTGGTGACTTGTCCTTTTTATTTCATATATCAATAGAGCATTATGTTCTGCAACTATTGAGAAAATTTAATAAAATTGTTTACAGTCTGATTTTTTTAAAAGCGAAAATTTTCTAACAAGATTTCCACTGTAAAAATTTTTTTTAAATTTGAATTTTATAAAATTCACTAAATTTAAAATTTTTGGTCAAAATTTGAGGATAGGTTACCGATGAAAATAATGAGTAAAATGCAACTCAAGTTGTAAAAAATCCTCGTATAACGCGAGAAATCCCCCTAATATATAAGCGTCGCTGACTAGTAAAAGATTGTACACGCGGGCGCAGAGTGAGCTTTCATCCAGCAAAATCGAGCGGCAATGTTTTCAGGTTTTTACTGCTTTGTTTTTGTCAATTTTTGTCAACCCTGCCGTTTACTCAATCTATGAGCTGTAATAGCCTAACAGGTTGTTGTTGTTGTTTGGTTTTGCACTTTTGCTAAAAATGAACACGGCTAGCGCTATGAAACTGATATTTTTGTGTACACGTAATAACTTTAATCTTGTAGAACCACGAAAGTATTTCTATAAACGACTTCTTAAGCGTTTATTAAAAATTTGTATATTTATTATCTAGCTTTTCTGTAAGAGAAAGGATGTTACGTAATTTATCATGTGACATGTGTCACATGACTTTGTATGTAAGTATTTGGACACCTGCTGGCAAAGACTTAATAAAGATACTCGGAAACATGCATGTGGTTGTGATACTACATTTTTAATTCATTTTAAAATTGCGACAGGTATATAAGAAAGGGACCGGTGGCTTTAGAACAATTGAAGTTAGCATTTTCTTTCTCAATTTCACCAGCTGTTATAGGAGAAAGAAAGAAACTGTCACGAGACGTCGGCGAAGTCAAATATTCAATTGATGATTGATCCATTGTTGGAATTTTATTAGCTAAATTGGAACATTAGAAAAGAACCTATAGAAAGTATTTGCAACATATTTGGCACAAGTTATTTCAAAACCATTATCATTTATAACTGCAGGAACCTGATATGATTTTGATTTTATATTGATTAAACTTTTGATGCCTTTCAGGGATTGAGTTTACCGTAAGATTGCGGTTAACCCATGCAGGGTTAGTCTTAACCATAGTTAATAGAGGAGAGGGTTTGGAAGCTGGGGGCGTGGCGAAATTATGTTATTGTTCTCTGTCACGTGACAATACGGGTGCATCAAAATCTATTTGTAATAGGAGATTGTATTACAGAGGAGGCTGTAGTGCTTGAAAAACGTCTTTTACAGAAAGGATATCCAAATATCAGTTGCAAATTGCTCCATACATGTTTGCGGGACTAGTAGAAAACACTTTGGTCTCAGTATTTTTTGAAATCCAACAAAAGACGACGATTTATCGACGAAAATTCGCGAAGCGTTGGCGAGGCTTGTCACCAAGGACGCTGGATCGAGAGATAGATGCAAGTTTAAGAAATCAAATCGCTCAACAAACACTTCACGTTTGTGAAAGACACTTTGAAAAGACCCAGCCGAAACATGTAAGTTATTTTCTTTCTCTGGTAGAGGTATTGATATTTCGGTATGAACGCTTGAAAGTTACAACTTAGCAGAAGTACTGTATATATTTCATGTATCAAATTATCAAATTTGTATAATTTAACCATATGGTCATAGAGCAGGAAAAATATATTAAAGATTTGCATAAAAGTGCGTTTCGGTCATTAGGTCATATTTATATAACAGTTAACCCTTGTGTTCATAAAATGAAGGTATACATATTATTCAGGACACTGTCACTGAGGACAGTAGAAACATTTTCGTATACAGTATTACAAAGTATTATACAGTATTCAAAGGCTATTTTAATAGCAAGAAACTGGCATAGTAAAGTAACAGGATTTTTGTTTGGCCATGTCATAGTATATGAAAGCCCCATTTACAGTTATTATAAATCTTGTTTGCTGTGAATTTTATTATAATTACTATCTTAACAATACTTGTATAAATTAAGTCAACTTACTGTATATATAATCAGATATTTTATGTTCTGCTTTAGTTCCCACCTGCAAAAAGCTTGTAGCTGGTGCTATTCCTACCTTTAATTTACCCCAGAAAAGCATACCTCTCTACATCGACAATTGGAGCCAGGTAACATTGCTGGTCGTCACACTGGTCAGAGGAGTAAATGGTATCGTGGATTAGAAAAGGCCTTGCCGTAACATAAAACAGAAGTAATCTAGTGAGAACTTTTATGGGGTTTTTGTACCCAGAGCTGTCATTAAGGGCCTGTAGCTTGCCTACTTCTGTCTGAACAAAGTTCATATAAACAAAACTGTGAAGCAATAAACAAACCTTTTACTTCCTCTAATCAGAACATCAAAATTTAAACAAAAGATTAAATTATTTCAAACAGGTCAGGCTTTGATAGGATGTTTTGTAATCTTAAGAACTCTGTAAAATACCTTCCAAAATGCAGGGAATGTGTAAAATACCTTCCTAAATGCAGGGAATGGCATTTCCAACCCAGATCCCTCTAGGAGTCTTGTGCCTTCAATGTTCAATAATTTTTCGGCCACCTACTTGTAAACTTAATGACAGCACTGCTTCAAAAGAGTAATATGCAATAATTTGTACATATGCTATAAAATAATTATTAAAACAGATTATAAATGAATAGGTGAACAATAAGACTAGAACAATATATTACCTTAGTTGAATAATTTGTAAAAATTTATACTAATATATACAGTAAATCACTATTACACAAAATTTTGTTTCACTTCAAATAAACAAGACATTGGTAGGCTCAACTTTGAGTTATCATGGTTTGAGAGACAACGACGGCTAGAATCAGAGCACACTGATGTACCGGTAGTGAATAAGTACACTATTCACATCTGAAATTGGCTGTCATCCAGGGGCATAGGAACCAGGGCGCCAAGGCCCCCCAAGTTCTCAGAAGATGCAAAAAGTGTCCTTTGAGTGTGAGGCAGTTAAACAATGAAATGACCAGCCTGCTTGGCATGCTTTGGGCTGGAGCACGACAAATGGCAAAATTTGAAACTTAACAGCCATACAGTTTACCAATATTCTCAAAACACACGGACGTACTGGCATTCTTTTGATACTGCAATGCTATTAGATTGCTCAATAATGTCATTCCACAAACTTTTTGCTAATGGAGGAGCTTGGACATTCTTAATAACTTTATCAACGTGTAAAGAAGTAGGTTTGCCTTAATTCTTGTGTGCTTTCTAAAGCACGATTCAGCAATTCTAGCAATATCATTAAGTCATGAATTTGGTACCCACAGGGCTGACGGCCCCAGCAACATAAGCTGGGTGGTCCAAACTCTTCTGATTTCACCGATAATTACTAGCAGAATACAAACATTAAAAAATATTTCTGGGTATATAATCCTTTGCACATAGGTAAAATCTTCTGGCACTGGAAAGGAATAAGAACTAAGTTTAATACCCTTAGGTCAATATTGTACTATACAGAGGAAATATCAAAATTTGATATTTCCTCTGTATGATATTTCCTTTGATATCTCCTTTGTCTAATATATTATAAGACTTGGTCTTGGAAACTGTGGGATGGCATGAAATATCATGGAATATTGGAATAACATTCTATTTTGATGTGACAGAATGATCAAAAGTAACAAATCACATGTTAGTAGACATTGAATCACTGTATATTGGTCAATGGCTGGACTTGTAATTGACAATTGACAAGCCTTAGGGCCTACTATTTTAAGACATTCATATCTAGGTTACAGTATATTGTCTATATATATACAGTATTAAGATATTTACTGGTATTAAAGCATGCAGTTTCTTCAGTGTTTATAATAAGAATATCTACTGGTAATAGCAAAGTCAACCGTTCGGGCATATTCACCAGCATCAAAAGCACGACTTTATCTTCTCTGCATGGATGAAAATATTCTTTCCTTTTCCCTACCTCTCGAATGATCGACAATGCCTTCTCATATGCGTGATAAGTCATATATAACATGGGTTTTGATTTTCCCTTTGGTAGTACTAGCTGTAGAATTTGTCGAGTGTTTAATACTGCGTCGATATTCGCACGGGAATTGCTTTAATCCTTCAATCTAAACGACAAATATAAGTCAAATATTAAGTCTAAGGCATCTCACTACATATTGTTTAATTGGACACCGTATAAAGGACTTACTTCTTCAACTGAACGCGATATTTCTTCAGTTAATTCATCCGCGTTGATTTGCAGCAGCTGATTTCCAGCAGCTAAATAGTTTGATGAAAATCGCCTCCGTCGTTGTATCTGCGTCTCCAGCACCCAGAATTGGGTGAATTTTGCTTTCTGAATCGTATGCCGAAGCCATAACAAGAACAACAATGCCTTATTTTAAAATTTATAAGCACAATATCATATTTCTGTAATACTACGCTATAGTAATTTCTGAATTTGATGCACCCGAAATGTCACGTGACGTACCTTTCCAACATCTGAAATTAATTAGCTCGAAAGCCTTTGAAGTTTGCCGGCCTTCCAAACCCTGTCCTCTATTAACTATGCTTTAAATCATTTTACACTGACTCTTGAGAAGTAAACATGTCTTATGAATGCGACATCTGCGGCAAAACGTTTGCAAATGCGAGTAATCTCCTTCGCCACAAGAAGGTTGTCCATGCATATGGAACTCGTAATCTTGGGCAGCAAACTCTCACGGTGAATGGGGTTACAGTCATGCAGCATCCCTTTACATGCATCGTTGCAGGATGTACCCAAAGCGGCAAAACCGTATGGGTAAAATCTCTCTTGGAGAATGCTCAAACGACTATAAGTCCTATTCATCAACGTATCATTTGGTGTTATGGTCAATGGCAACCGTCCTATTTTGATATGATGAGGATAATGCCTGGAATCGAGTTTAATGAAGGCATCCCCGAAGACATCGACAATGCGGATTACTTGGACGTATCGCAACGGAATTTGATCGTATTGGACGACCTTATGGCTCAATCTGGCAAAGATAAACGTATTTCTGATCTTTTTACGAAAGGACGTCATCATCGAAATTTGTCTGTCATCTATATTGTCCAAAATATATTTCATCAGGGCAAAGAAATGAGAAATATTAGTCTAAACGCGCATTATATCGTATTGTTCAAGTCACCAAGAGATAAACAACAAATTTCTATACTTGCAAGGCAAATAAATCCCCGCAAAGTACAAGAGGTTATGAGGAGTTATGAAGATGCTACGAGCCGGCCTCACGGATATTTGATGTTGGATTTAAAGCCGACAACAAGTGACCAAGATCGACTCAAGACAAACGTACTTCCCGGCGAGATTGCAAAGTTTTTACACAAACAGTCGTATCGTCAACCACCACTTGCAAACGCAATGTATGATGCCGAACAGATAATGAAATAAATCATGGATGCACCACAGCTTAGCGCAGTGGAAAAAAGCAAATTATACTCTGATCAACTAAATCGATTTTTGACATTCAAAAATAAGATGGATGTTCCGACTCAAGCTCCTGTTCAGACAACTCCACTAGTGCCTGCGGAAATACCACAACCCAATGAATTTGTTGAGA